AACACTTTTCTGCTTATATTAGGCTTTCATATTGAGGAACCATTACCACTTGAACGTTTTGCCTCATATTTTGGGGATTTACACGCGGCGTAGACGACACGACGGAGGGCATCTCACACTCTTCGCCGATTGGCTAGTTAATGACTTATCACCGATTGGTCGAGATTACAGATATAATATATAATGTCAATAGCTATATTTTGCAGGCATTTAATACTCAATCTTGCAGCTTATGACATTATAAAACCATGAAGCTGGTTCCATATGTAGACAACGCTGAAAAGTGGCACAGATTGATCAAGGCAGCTAGAGAGAATCGACTAACAACTCAAGTAGGGTTCGGAAAAGATCGTGCGAAATATATACCCATGAGTGCCATCAAAGATCCAATTCAGGTCGTTTCTCCGATGCAAGCGGTGGTTGATAGAGCTAAATCCCAAATGGAGCATCAAAAAAGAGAGGCTGAAGAAAAATATCCCCAACGAACTAAAAGAGTGTTCAAGCTCAGGCAACCCCGTAAAGATGCTGGTCCAAAAGCTGTGTTCAAGAAGAAAAATATTAAGAAATCCAGATTGGACCAGTACAGACCACCTGGTATCCCAGCAAGAGGAAGGAAAATTGATATGGACTGATAATTTGAATTGTCTATCAACTTTTAACATGGAAATAAAGCACTGACAGACACATATTTATCTGATTTTGTTATTTAATCACGCGAGGGCGACTTAATAAAACCAGTATCCCGATAAATGCTAAGTAACATAGCATTGTTGAAGAGGGGGGGGGGGCACGGATAAATTCAAAGATCACGCCATATCATCGTTGCTGATTGGTTAAATGAGACGTCTAAAATCTCCAGAATGAGATCTCTAAATTCTAAAACAACATCTAATATATATATAACAGATTTATTTATTTTGTTCACGTACATCATATTTCTTTTCAATTATTTGATTTATTAATGCTATACATTGTCCGCATCCCCCTCATAATCAGATTCATCTTCACTAGTAGTGTTTGTACCATCATCCGATTGTTGTTCATCACTTGATTCTTCACTCGTAGATGCATCATCCGTGAATAATTCTCCAGCCAAATATGAATATTTGTTAAGTGTTTTCTTGACTGCTCTGGATTGAGTCATGCCTTTCGCCAATAGTGCCTCTACTTCCTCCATGACATCACGATGAACTTCACTGTGGCGGAGTCCCAGTATATTTGTCAGAAGTTCTCCATAGTTTTTCAAGAATCGCTGTCTGGCACCAAAAATAGATTTCTGTCTAGCTTTCTCTATAGCTGTTTTGTTTGACATTCCTCTTTCTCTATACTTCTCCATCAGAACATCCACATCATCCTGTATCTCATCAATGACCTTATCTTTAATACGATTCAAAGTTGCATTCTCTCTCAGATCTTCAGTATGGAAATCCCCGGTTGTACCATCGTTTTCATCAGTTTCCCTCAATTCGGGGCAATGTCTCCTGTGCTCCCTTACGTCGATTGGTGACAGCATCACTACACCGCAATCAGTACAATGAGGAATAGAATTTGTCACTGCAGGTTTGCTGGGTTGGTTGTTCAACGTGTAGCTCATACCTGGATTCATTGGTTGATACATGGTTGGATTCATATGGCATTGTATACTCGAATCCATGTTTAATTTTGCATCGATGGGTGTAGTACTGTAGTTTGCCTGGTTGATATCATCATATGGTTCTTGATTAGGCTTCACGACTCTACTTATATCCATACTGCTGCAGGGGATTGGCATTTGGTTACTGACTTGTGATTGGTCCTCTTTTCCATGTGAATAAAATACCGAAGACATGCTTATGGGTCGCTCCTTATCAGCTGCTGCAACATCGTATAATCTCATATGTTCGGGAGTTTCTTGCTTCAAATCAACCAGTAGATGCCCGTAGGGTTGCTGGGTAGCCTTTTCGTAAGCGTCCAATAATTTCTTTGATTTTCCAGGATACATCTGATTGGCTAATACGGCCACCTGTTGGCGATCCCTAGGATTTTTATACAACACTATATAGTGACAGTTTAGACTCATAGTTCTGCTTTCACGACCATGATGAAATAGATTCTGCATGAGACAGATGACACTCAAATTCCTGTGGTGGGATCCCTTAGTGTACAGCTCAGAGATCCGCTTATCTTTGGTCATATCAGCCATCAGATCGTCGAAAATGAGTAGATTTCTTACATTGACATCTAGAAATCCTTGGTCACTCAATAACTCTGGAATTCCCATCATGAATTCTATATTTGGAAAGCGTGTCTTTATCTCGATATACATTGGCTGCCATTGACCAAAGCACCAGATAATACGTTGCGGTGGAGGGGCTATCCTTTCATTGACACGTTCTATAAGATTTTTGACATACGTGGACTTGCCCGAACCTGTTGGACCTACCACCATCATCGTGAAGGGATGGTGAAGCATCTTTGTCCTATCACCCTTGTAAGTATGATCTGCCAAGTTTCCTGAAGAATAAGGTCCAGCATCATAGTGTTCTTCAGGGGGCACAAATATTTGTTTATGCGTAGCATGATCTATTCTCTTGTGACGATACAGACTACTCGTATGATTAAATGATCGTCCACATTCGCAGGAGCATATGGCACTTTTAGGCATGTTGTTTCGTCGGTCGCATTTGGTTCACTGTTGTTTCTGATGCAGGATATGTTATAAATACTATCTGATGTTTACTATTTATGATAATTAGCATGAGCCATGTAGCATAGCATGTAGAATTATAGCAAAACATGTAGCATAGCATGTAGCATAGTAGTATAGCATGCAGCATATCATGTTGCATAGTAGCATATCATGTTGCATAGTAGCATATCATGTAGCATAACATGTAGCATGGTAGCATAACATATACCATAGCATGTACATGTAGCATAGTAGCATTATAACATGTAGCATAGTAGCATGACATGTAGCATAGTACCATAGTATGAAGCATAGTAGCATAACATGTAGCATAGCATGTAGCAAGATATCATAACATATAGCATAGCCTAACATGTAGCATACATGTTGCATGGTAGCATAACATGTAGCATAGCAGCATAACGTATAGCATAGTAGCATAACATGTAGCATAGGATGTAACAAGGTAGCATAAATGTAGCATAGTAGCATAACATGTAGCGTAGCATGTAGCATAGTAGCATAACTGTAGCATAACATGTAACTTAGTAGCATACAATGTAGCATAGCATGTAGCATAGTAGCATAACATGTAGCATGGAACCATAGCATGGTAGTATGACATGTAGCATAGCGTGTAGCATAGTGGCATAACATGTAGCATAGTAGCATTACATGTAGCATAACATGTAGCAAAGCATGTAGCATAGTATGTAGCATTGCGTGTAGCATAATAGCATAATGTGTAGCAAAGCATGTAGCATAACGTGTAGCATAGCATGTAGAATAACATGTAGCATGGTAGCATAAAATGTAACATAGCATGTAGCATAGTAGCATAGCATGTAGCATAGTAGCATAACGTGTAGCATAGCATGTATCATAGTAGCATAACATGTAGTATAGCATGTAACATAGGAGTATAACATGTAGCATAGTATGTAGCATAGTAGCATAACATTTAGCATAGCATGTAGCATAGTAGCATTATATAAAGCATAGCATGTAGCATAACATGTTGCATAGTATGTAACATTGCGTGTAGCATAATAGCACAATGTGTAGCAAAGCATGTACATGTAGCATAGCATGTAGCATAACATGTAGCATAGCATGTAGCATTGTAGCATAAATGTAGCATAGTATGTAGCTTAGTAGCATACAATGTAGCACAGCATGTAGCATAGTAGCATAACATGTAGCATGGAAGCATAGCATGGTAGCATAACATGTAACATAGCGTGTAGCATAGTGGCATAACATGTAGCATAGTAGCATTACATGTAGCATAGTATGTAGCATTGCGTGTGGCATAATAGCATAATGTGTAGCAAAGCATGTATCATAACATGTAGCATAGCATGTAGCATAATGACAAATAAGAAGACCAGATTAAACCACAATTTATTAATCATTCTCACATCACAAGTAGCCCATACAGACCGGCCCAGGAGAAGCCATTCAGAATTCCAGGAGAACCCATATAGAACCCATACAGAACCCCAGAGAACCCATACAGTAACCCCGGAAATTTTTTATATTGATGTTATGCTACTACGTTATATGCCACGCTATTAAATACCTTAAATACAAAGAAACTCGTAGTAAGAGTATATTAATTCGTTTTAATATCCTAATAAATGTACATTCAGTATATAAAGTGTTATTCCATCATACACTACTGAATGAAAAGACTTAATTAGGTTCTAGAACATTTTAGTTCGTATTAAATTCAATTTAGCTCTTTAATTTATAGCGTAGACAACTTACATTAAATTATAAATGTTTAGATTTGGTAGTGTTTCATTTACATTTCGTAATCAATTGCTACTTCGAGCTGTCTATAATTTAAACAATTAGTCACGTTGAAGAACTTTATTTATTCCAATATACATAACTGTGGTCTAGATCCAAAAATGTCCTACTTGAAAGGTTATCAAAAATGTTTTTAAAAGAAACGATTAACGTTCGTTGTTATTGTTCAGTAAGTTCATTATCAAAAAGTGTCCTGCGGTTCATGTATTGACAAACGTTACATGCCCACATCCCCATTTGATTTAGATGATCGTCGTGTAATGTAGCCAGACAGTTTTTCTCAGCCAGTACCAAAGGCTCCATGATCAGCCATATATTATTTAATAAGGCATGTATTTGTTGAAATGTTAAACAGATACTCCAATTCAGTTCCTAAATCTGCTTCTCTTCGTTGTACCTATTAGACACAATTTCTAACTTTTTATAATTCCTAGAAATTGTAAATTCGTATCCTCTACCCAAGTGTTGCCAACGGTCTAAACCCCCGTCTAAACCATTCGTTCAAAGCGCCTGGTGATCATACTGTGGGGATGTGATGTGGGGATGTGCTGTCTTTAAAAATATGGTCGTTCTCTTGACAGCTTTCTAGGAAATAGTCGAATTCCTGTCTTGTTATCATACCTGCACTCGGATCAGATGATTGCGACTCAAAAGGGACTCTTAGTGTTCCATCATCCCGAGACAGTAAATCAAGCACATCATACGTTTTTATAAATACACGACCCCCTTTCTGGAAGAGAAATGTTTGTTGACGGTATGGTCCTGAAGCTATTTTCAACATCTTTGGAAGCTCAGTCTCTAATGGTTGAACTATGGCTCCCCTGCCCTTATTGACATATTGTGATTTCAAGTGAAAAACATCCATAATGCTTCTGATATAACTCCTGTAATTATCAAGTCTGTTCCATCGAGGAATAAACTCTCAATCCAAGTTCGTAAGTCATAGAATTCAGCAGGCTTTCTATGGTATAAAGCTATATTCACTCTATATTTACCATTTGTTGGTTATTTCCTAACTACCACATGAATGAAGTTAACGCGTTGTTGCAAAGTGGTTGAATTAAGCTAGGAATGGAGAGTGATGCTCATATTTTGTTAATGTTGAAAACAGCACTTAACGTCATGATTTTGTGATAAGGAGGAGGAATACATCCAACGACGTGGGCAATTGTTAAGGTAGATCAACCTAAGGGTTTAGGTATAAAATTGGATGATATCAGGTTTTTAACATCGAGTGAGGTGAAATTTATATTCACAAAAACTTAATGTTTACTACTAGCTACTTCGGTATGTCTATCGTCTAAGTATCTCTACTAGGGTATAAAACGAAACTGGGCTAATGAGTTTACCTAAAACGATAAGCCAATCCCATGACGTCAGCCTTCGTTCCTTTTTGAAAACGTACTAAAGCTAAACTCATAGATGCATCCTTTTCACGTGACATGGGGAGGGGGGCACTGCAGATTCCATAGATAGCGCACTCTCAGTCATCTCGTAACGTGAGTACACCTTCGGTACAGTCAAACCTACATATAGGCACTCATTACCAATCGGCTTATTCCGGAATTTTACGAGAATCTAACCCTAACCCTAACCCTCCTAGCCCTAACCCTAACCCTAGCCGGAAAGTAGTCCTAACGTGAGGACTGTATGTTTTCTTTTACGCACCCTTTACTACTGTTGTGAGAAGCCCTTCTCACAGCTGGGGACCCAAATCCCGCTGAAAGTAAGGACTCTGTATAGCAGAATAATGTACCAACAGAAAGGCATTTTTGTTATGCTTTGAATGGAACAAGTTTGAAGAAAAACAATGCAGTATGAGACTCGTAATCCTTGATTTTCAAACATCTGGTTGGTCAAAAATTCAAATTAACGGTCGAACTAAAGTTAGTACCGTGTGATAGATAAAAATTAAAGTAAACCTTTTATTTCATTAACAAGATACTTTTTTTAAATCAACCAAACTTTCCTATTAATTGTACTGTTACAATATTGAGACTTAAAGATGTTGCTGCATCTGGTTTAAGTAATATAGTTTGCACTGGCAGATCCAGGGGCCTGCAGAGCCCCCGGATGGGCCCAGAAAAATTTTGTAGGGCCTCAAAATTGGGCCTTTTTGACCATGACTTGGTCATTTTGGGCCTTTTTAGGCCTAATTTTCAATGGACCTTGCATTTTCAAAATGTGGTCCCTATTTTTGGTTTTAAGGGGCCAAAATTTTTTCTCCCGACTTGGAATGTAGACCGATTCACAATATAGTTATTCGCCATTTTGAGACACTTTAAACACTTAACCATGATCATGGGGGTGCCGCAAAAAATTAAGACCCATTGTGTGAAGCTGAAAAAGGTCCGTACCAATTAAACTTATTCATGATTACACGGACTTAAAAGAAAGTAAGTCAACACGTCATGGATACAAGAAAGTCTCAGTATCCGTACTAAAATGTGAATATGCAAATGAGGTAGTGTCATTCAAAAATCTGAATTGACAGAATTATAGATCGATAAAATCCCGTTAAAGAGGCTCTATGCCATAGGATAGCATAATCAAGACCCTTCTGGTCTTTTTTGCATACTGAGTTTCACCACATATATACCCATCTACTTGCCAAAGAAGTCCCAAATCCCCCTCTTTCAGTGTTTATTTTGCGATTGTGCTGGCCGATCTAATTATTTTCGAAGAAATTAATTCAATCTGAAGTTTGAATATTCCGGCCGAAAGTCCTCCTGTTATCTGATTGATCGTTGAATTTGTTTATCATAAACCTGATTGGCTCCCTGGTTCAAGGCGCTTGTTGGGCGCTTGTGTGACTCAATGGGGATTCCCTTCGATAGCCGAGGAATTGATTGTGTTCAATTCTGGAGTTAGGTTGTTCCATGGGCTCTATCAGTGGTAGAGCCCATGGTTGTTCTGTTGATTATTTCCGATATTTCGGCAATAATATACCCAAACGTTAATCTCAAGATATATCCATGCTATGTGAGATGTTATATATGCAATAACAATAGGACATCAGGGGCGAATCTGGGAACCAATAAGGGGGGGGGGCAAATTTCAGGGTCAGAGAAAAAGATTTTGGGCCCCTAAATCCCAAAAGTGAGCCCAAATTTAGAAATTTCTGAGGCCCATTTTCTTCTAAATTTGGCCTGAAATTAAAAAATAAGGCCTTAAAAGGCCCAGTAATGACCAAAAAGGCTCACTTTTTTGGAACCTGAGGTCTTTTTTGGCCCAAACTTTTTTTTGGGCCCAATTTCCCAATGGGCGGGCCCGGTCAGTCTTCAAGGAGTTAATGCAACTCTACGATCTACGACGTCAGGAGTAGATGACTGAGCCAAACTGCTTTGGTTAGGATGTAATACTGTTGGTGGTATTTTGGAGCTGAAACTGATGGATGCTACAGCATCATATTATGTTGTAACGTTTGCAATCGCAGCCCATGTTCATCGGTTCTCTTGAACTGAATTGTAAGCTTATATGTATATAGGAGCTGGATTATAGTTTTGTTTATATACTTATCCACCTACATGTTACAAACATATCAAAAGACTAAGATTTTAAATACTATTACCCGCCACAAGATGAATGAAAATCTCTGCGCGCGCACATCTTCCCGAAATGCACTCTGGGAATGGGGCTTTGTAAGTCCGCCATGATGGATGGACTAAAACGTCATAAACGTACATATTTTGCACTCATACTGTAAGATATATAGAACAAAACAGATCAAAATGGATGGTTAAATCGAGAAAAGTGATACTAAGCTATCATACAGTGCGTCTATTTCCTCAAGAGAGTGACTTAGGAGGGAGTAAACGGTGAACGAATTTTACCCCAGCTCATTAGCATAAATCGGGGTCAGCACGATGAGCAAGCTGTCTTTTAGGGCTCGGGCCCTCGATGCCACCAAGCAAATGCCTATCTTCAAGGCTGAAGACATTCCCGATCTACCGGATTTTGCAGCCATTAATCGAGCTGTGCCGCAAATGCCCACGGGGATGGAGAAAGAAGAGGAAACGGTAGGGTTCTTTATTCTCGGAAGCAGTTTTTTGATTGGACGCCATATTGAAATTGGCGCGTAATTATATTTTGAAATAACATGTTGCATAGAGTGTCAGCGTCAATTTCAATAATTTGTTTGGTAACCTGGACCTATTCCCTACCAAATGTGCAAGTTTCCCCTATGTACCATGTTTATTGACAGAGAAAACAAGCTTTGGAAATTATTAATGAATCACGTGACCATTTTCTATGTGCGCCGCCATCTTAGATTTGTAGAAATTGTTTTTGTTATGTTTGAGGATTTCCTGACGATCCATGCTAAAATTGACTCAATGAGACCATACACCAGTTGTTTTTCTCTATTGAGTGCTACACATATATTGTTGGAAGAGCTCAAACTTCTGATATCTACTCTTTTACAATCCATCCCATAATTGTTGAGAAAAAGAGTGACGTCATGCATAAATTATTATAATTTTAGTATGTTTAATAACAAGACCACATGTTGTATATACCATAGGAATATGTCCATTAGATACAGAAAGGGTTTGATGAAACATTGTTACTATGGTATTGCTGAATTTCTTTATCGCTCTATATTCTCGTGTTGCTGTTTTTCCTAGATTTCAAGGATTACATACGAAGAAATATATAGTTGGCAACAAAAATAAATGACACATGGATTTTCTATCAGCATTTCCTAACCATGGTTGTCTGAAAGCCCATAATTTCCAATATTGTCTAGATACATATCCCTTAAAATTTGTATATTTTATAATCCCATCCACTGATGTATGGCCTCTTGAAAATTCTCTTATTTTTAACATGGGGAAATCCTCACTTCAGCAAATCCACCTGTCATTTATTTATGTTCCAAACTGTACTGTCAAAGATCAATCTGAGTGCATTCTTCGTGTCAATTTACATCTTGTAGAAAACGTGGATTTACCATGTAGCGGAATTAAGCTTTTGTATTAGAAAATGTTCAAAATACATTTTTGGCACTGAAGTAGGGCAAAGGGGTGTTATATCAATGTGTGCCAGGTGTGGGGTAATGTTGACATGAGAAATAGGTAACTATAACACATACTTGCTAGAAATTTCATTTTCCGTTTTCCCCCATGTTTGATCTTGAATCGAAATCTGAACCCCTGCCAATCTGAAGGCCTTTGAGACAATCCAATATTGGGCATGTTTTATTGTATGGTTCCATAATATTCTTTAGATTTCTCATTTTTTAGGTTCAACTGGTTATTATGAAGAAGTTTAACAGACTGTACCCCATACATCAAAATTGAAATGGTGTAGACTTTACAGTTTATACCCTTTTGTCCCTGTTTGTATTTGATATTTCATCTTTCATTTATTTCATATCTGAATCATCTGTATCTCATTCCTCTGTTAGTTTCATTTCTTGGGAGATCACTTTACTTTAGTGAATAGGTGTACCGTAACCATATACAAGGTTTGAGCTCAGCGTCAATCCAAAGATCATGAGTGACTGGCAGATTCACATAACAGACTGGCTGGATCCAGAATCTTGTGGTCAATTTGACTGTTGCAGGGATCTCACCAGGATTTAAATTTCAGAAAAATGAAATATATTTACTAACTTTTCACTGTTAGTATATGTGTATGACCAGCTCTGAGCTCAATCTAATTTGGAGTAGTAACTCTCTCAGATGAACTGGTCCAGCAAGTTTTCATATTGATCACCTGATAAATTAAAAGTGGCGGCTGTATGACCAGCAGTAAAATAGGGCCTAGCTCAACCCCTGACCATTAACCATTACAGGTACATGACTTCATGTACCTATCAATTTAGACCTGAAGATTAGTAAATCTACATGTTCTTGTTTTATCTTACTGCAGCATAAAATATGTCTTTTCAGGAGCACCATTTGCAGAGAGCATTAACAGCACAACAAGTATATGGTACAGCTGAAGCCCTAGAGATACCTGTGCCTGAGGTTGCAGGGGTAGAAGCCTACAATGCACTCTATAAAGGCTCAGAAGATTTTACTTACAAGCCACCTAAGCAATTTGTGCATGTGCAAGGTATGGATTAAACCTATTAGCCTTCTCATACATACCTGCTAGTCATCCCTACCTGTCCAGGGGTGGATCTAGGAACCAACAAGGGGGGGGGGGGGGGCCCAAATTTCAGGTCAGAAAAAACGTCCAAATAATTTTGGGCACCTAAAATCCAAAAGTGGGCCCAAATTTTAAAATTTTGAGGCCTATTTTCTTCAAAATTTGGCCTGGAATTAAAAAACAAGGCCTTAAAAGGCCCACTAATGACCTAAAAGGCCCACTTTTTGGGGCCTGAAGGCCTTGTTTGGCCCAAAAAAAATATTGGGCCCAATTTTTTTTCTGGGCCCACCCAAGGGGGGCCCGGGCCCCCAGGCCCTAATCCGCCAGTGTTGTCTTATATAATCTTGTCAACAGTTCTTCTGGTTATGGTTGATACAGTTTTCATTTATTCAGTAAAATCTTATAAGTGGAACATTCTTAAAAGCACAAAAGTTTTATCTAGTAGATGCTACTTTTGGAGGTGTATGTGGTACTGCTCCCTAGGGCTTCTTACAATTTATATTGTTCCAGACTGAAGCAGTGAAGCTTTATGTAGTAAGACTATGCAAGACTATATTGTTTGTTGATTTCTATTGAAAAAATGAACTGATTTAGTACTCTGAAAATCTTCTGGATTTTGATTTTAGAGAGAAACAATACAAATCAGGTTAAACAGATTTCGCTACTAGTCTTAATTAGCCAGAAGGACAACTGAAATTTGAATATTCCAAAAATGAATATATAGTACCGTTTGTTGCATAATTGTTAGCCTGACCACAAAGGTTAACTAAAATTAACCTTTGAACGACTTATCCAATTTTACAGTTCATCCAGCCGACCCCCAATCAGGGGTTTCATTAGCAGCAGGCAACAGGCGATTTTCACTGGTTGTTTTCACAAAATGGCCTGTTGTTTTTAAGGACTTTTTAATTTTTCCATGTTAAATTTATGATATCCATTAATTTCACTGTTGTTTTTTTATTTTTTAGCCTGTTGTGAGAAATTCTTGTGAAACCTGCCTAATCACGCCTAACCATCGCATAGGTAGGCGTCACCGTACAGCGTCAAAAAATAGCGGAGTACAGTTTTCTGTACGGTGACGCAAATTAACTGCTTTGAAACAAAAACTATGACATGGGTTTAAAAAAAATTAATTTGATGAAAACTAATACGATTTCATGTGAAATAAAAACAGCATTCTCTTAGGAATGGTTTTAACTTTGTAATTATGATAAATGTTTTACGAGCACTGTTCGGATTTTTTCTGAGTGAATCGGCCCACATAATCGACCAGAGTGAAAAAAGGTTGTTTTTTCACATTTTGTTTGGTTATTATTTTCCCTGCTGTCTGAGAGTATGGATTATTTTTATGAGAATATGTATTTGTCGACTACACATTTTAGAACGGGCGAAGATTCAACAAACAACCATTCATTATGTATATTTAAAAAATATCAAATTTTTACGGTGACGCATCAGCTGTACGTTGACGATTCATTATAATTTTTGAGAAGTAATATAAAGAATTCATTATTTATTACTTCAAATTGTATAAGTTTTGGTGTGGAAGTTCAAATGTTGATCCAATCTAGTATCCCTCGTATACATGTTGTCAAAATGATCAGTGAAAGTTACTGCAGTCACTTTTGCATTTAAGATGGCGGACAGGAAGTGTCGATCTCGATATTTTTAGTTTTCATCGAATTCTTTATAGTTGGCGTTATGCTTTGATGAACTAAATGAGACTAGGCTTATATGAAATGGAAACTCTGGAGTATGATCATTTGTTCATATATAGTGCTACAATTCAACGATATCTTCCATCGTTTAATGGAAGGTTACTGGAAATGTGTCTCAACCAAGCAGTGAGCTGGAAGAAAGCATTTAATTAATATTAAATGTTTGTCAGTATTGGATAAACAATGATTCAGAGGAAATGACCAAAAATTGAAAATCGTCCTTCTGGCAATAACAGGCTCGATATATTCAAAAGATTATCAGTAACTGAAAAAGAATAAATGAAGCTTTCTTTTGAAAATCTAATGTGAAGGGGACATAATTGTTACCACACCTTGAAGTGGCAAATTAAGCAGCATGTATAAAGATCAACTGGCATATTATTGATTTGATACTTGAATGACAAATGAGATTTGAAAAACATACTCACTTGCTAGCATTATAACAGTTATCCTGAAAGACTGTATTTCTAATGCTGAATTACAACTTGGTAACAAAACAAATACATTAATCTACTTTGGATGAAAAATAGATGATTATACAGTACTTTTGTGAGTTGTTCAAGATCTGAGGTGCAGCATTTCCATAACTTAAAAATGCTCATCCAATATTTCTATGTGCTCCTTAAAGTGCTCCATAAAAACCTGAAAATTCGTAAAATGTTGCACAAAAATTGCAAAAACCTAAAATAATTGCACAATAAGTTACTTAGTTACTTAGAAAATAACGGACAATTATTTGTAATGCTAAGGTTGAACCTCCCCACATTCAGTTTAAGTTATTCATTTATGCTTTGGTAGCATTTGGAGTTGAGCATGACATCCCAGACTATGATATGGACAGTGAGGATGAGCAGTGGCTCACAAAACAAACCAAAAAGATGGAAGTTACACCAGTGAAATTTGAAGAAATGATGGACAGACTTGAGAAAAGTAGTGGTCAGCAGGTGAGTGCATAAGATACTGTAGATACACTTATTTTGACGCTACTTAATTTGACGGATTTGCTCAATTTCAAATATTGCTAGCTATTTAATTTGGCGAATTCAGGACTGCAGTTTAATTTTCTTAGATGTTTATGTCATTAGGACAGGTGTTTACAAAGATATTTTCTGTATTTCTTTTGGAATAATGTAGAATTGATGAAATGTTGACGGGAAAAGGGGCCCTTGGAGTTTAATTTCTGAGGTGCGTTGGACAAAAATTCCAAATTGAAATTTGACGAAATTTTAATTTGGCGGATTTTCTGAATCTGCCAATCCGTCAAATTAATGGGAGTCAAATTAAGTGTATCTACAGTATGCTTAAATGGAGAATAGAACTGGAACAACTAAAAGTTGCTTATGACAAGTCTTGAACTTGAACCATTTTGAACGCAACATATTTACAGTGAGGCAAAAAATGAATGGAGTGTCAGAAAGTTCCACTGATCAACCAGTCATATTTAATTTAAAGATGGAGCAATTTGAATTCCTTCAAGAAGAATGATTATAAAAGAGGAGATACACCCTTGATGCTATCAACAATATTGATCTAATTAAAAATGGAATAAACTGATTTTGACTCTAGGTGTTGACTCTTCAAGAAGCAAAGCTATTGTTGAAGGAGGATGATGACCTTATTATTGCTGTATATGACTACTGGCTCAATAAACGACTAAGAACTGTCAGCTCCCATAAGGTGAGTTCATTAACACTGTAATACTAACACATACTGATTAGTGCTCTTCCCAGGATTTTCTTCTCAAGTTGTTGCAAAATTCTCAAAATGTTCACTTTTTAGATGATAATTGCTCTTATTTTCTTGATTTTGCTCATTATTAGTAGTTATGAATGGATTTCAGGTAACTACAAGCTCATATTCAAAATCTTAAGTGGGTGAAGTACCCACTTGCTTCTTTGTTAGGGATATTAGTTTCAATGAAGTCTCTATGAATTACGTACATGCAACATGTAGAAACTGTGAGATGACTACCTTCTTAAATTACACTTATTAGAGCTCTGTAACATGATATGCTGACCTAATTATCATAAAAGTTATGATATACATATAATAAGTATTGAGTAAGAGTCATATGTGTGTCTATTAAATTTGAATCAAAACTATCATTTGTTTCTTGTTACTATTAATTATTTTATTTACATTTCAGCAACATGGTTTAATTCCTCAGGTAAAAACAGAGAAACGAGATGGGTCCACTACAAACAATCCGTATGTCGCTTTCCGGCGCAGAACAGAAAAAATGCAAACCAGAAAGGTAAAGTTTGGTTGAAAGTTAGACACTACCAGTGTTCCAATAGTCAGATGAGTTAAGACACTGAAAATGTTAATCCCACAAATGCAGTGATAAAACATACAATAGATTGGTTTTAGTCATGCGTAGCACATAACATATGTGGTATTAAAACATTTTCATGAAATACTGTCAAAACTTGAATGTGTTGTAATTTTAGTGTCAAAGATGATGATTAGAAATTGACAAGAAGGGATTCGAAATAAATAAATATTGATGAACAAATTGATCAACCTAATTTTATTTCAGAATCGTAAAAATGACGAGGCTTCCTATGAAAAGATGCTCAAATTAAAAAGAGATCTCAATAGAGCTTTGTAAGTAAATCCTAACTGTTCTTCTACAATGTGTGAAGTAATTTTTGGTAAATAAGTTAAATATCTATTCGCATGTCCTTCCTAGATGTTTGTTATACACAGATACGTTGAACTTAGAAGTTGGAAAAATTAATAGAAAGTCTCATCTACAACCGACATGTTCGGAAAACTCGATGCAAAACATTAAATGATTGATGTGTAGTCTCATATTAAATCAACCAATTCTCCAATCTGGAGTCCCTGCTCTGGAATGTTATAATAGATCAGATCAAATCAGGGACAATTTCTAAACTGTGGGATTTGATGAGCATTAGCAACAGTTGTATTAATCAAGATTGAATGCGTCTTGAGAAAGTCCCATGTTAAGATTTTTTCAATCATATCCAAATTGTAAGATAAACTGTTAGATAATAGTGAACAGCAAAAGCTATGTATTTCTGAAATAAAAATGTTATTGGACAACAAATATTTTGTGAAGAGTATTGATTTTTATGATTTTATGTCTATTTATGTTAACAATGTAATTCTTTATTTTAGAACACTACTAGAAATTATTAAAAGGCGGGAAAAGAGTAAAAAAGAATTATTACAGTTAACCGTAGAAGTTGTAGATAAAAGGTAATGTACAAGTTTTCGTGATTAAAATAGAAAAGAAGATTAAAGTTCTCTCTCCAACAGTATTGAAGCAAAGGGGTGCTACAATCACTTGATATTTTGAAAAGTTATTCACTCCTATTTGAAGAATATTAAATGGAAAACAAGAAAAATTGTGTACATTCACCAACTTAAGAAGTTGAGAAAAGAACAATCAAATGAGAATTCTGATTTGAAAATAAAGTATTGAGTTGAATATTATACATGAGGGTGAATTTTCATTCCACATTTTATAGAAATACCAAACATATGAGTTTGTTTCAAGAAATAATGACTATTAACACCAGAGTTCAAAGATGACCTACTCTTATCATGTAAACCTGTATTGAGAATAGATGACCTACATTTCTGATTGATCAACATTAACAAACAAAAATGGCGGCCTCAAAATTTTTAGAAATACGCTTCAAATAATATTATGTTCATTTTTGGCGTGTTAACTAATGTCATAGCTTCTTATTTCATATCAAGATAAAGAAAGGTGTATGGAATATGCCTACACCAACTAAAACATCACATCGAAGCGTAGTATTTAGAAGCCGGTGAAAATTCGAACAAACGAAGGTGGTAAGCAAGAGACGTAATCATGTCTGTTATCTCTAAGCTCTGGGGCTTTCCCTCATCTTGACTCTACGAATGTCATGCCAAGGTCCTTTGTAGTTTGGCCATACTTTGACTGGCATTTATACTTTACAATTATATTGCAGATATGCACTAGGTGACTTCGAAGGCCGGGCTTATGATCATGCAATGTCTCAACGTCACATACGACCACAATACTTTCCACTACCAAATAATTGGTCTAGGGTAAATCAAATTCTTGTATCAAATATAGCTATGCCACTTTAATATGTTTCACATAACATTATACTGCACTTTTTTTGTAATCGTAAAAATGCCTGTGTTTAACAACAGAATGCTTTAAGTTATTATTCTAATATCACTTATTTTTATCCGAGAAATTATTAACCCAGAGATAAAGAGAACAATTGATCAAGGAGTTCTAAAGTTTAAAAACTCTCCTGGTATTGTACAAAAATATCTGGCCCTGGATGGATTCAATTTAAAACAAGATTTCTCTATCTGCTAACTTCTTCAATCTGTTTATTTCTTCATTGCAGGATGAAAATTATGTCAGAAAGAAGCGAGAATATCGGAAAAGAAAGCATAAAAACTCTGTTCATTTATCAGCTCCCTCTTCCCAAAGTCAGTCAAACCTTCCCGTGTATACAGAGGTGGACATCCTCAATCCCGATATGTATAGTTCAGAAGAAGAAATATCCCCTGTAAGTATCCAAATTCATTTACTTATTTATTATGTTGTAATTTCAGAAATAATTTTCTAATGGTTTCTCAATATGTATGCATGTATAGTGAAAATGCAGTGATTTAGTATGAAGAGTTCCAAGGTACATTTAAAAACAAATATTATAATATCAAAGATATATTTTGATGTGATCCAGAACAATACAATATCAGCAATGACAAAAATTGGCCTGCAACAGTTTATTACCCTAAATATGTTTAGATTATGTAGTGCACCAATCTAAAGAATGTCTACTGTCTCAATGTAGTAAAATGTGTCTATTTGCAGCCATTATCCGCATCTGACCATGAAGATGAAAATGATCCTGATGGTATCTATGGCTTCAAGCGCAAAGCTGGCTGTAACTACCTTGCTGTAAGTAACATGTCTGGAATCACCTTTCATGTAACTACCTTGCTGTAAGTAACATGTCTGGAATCACCTTTCATCAAGATAGCTTCACAATTTCCAGGTTGGGGAATTAGTTCAATTTTTGACAAATTAATAGCCAATTTTATCCCAGAATTGGCAAGATTGAATAAAACATTTTGAGAAAGGGAAGATCAGAATTTTTATAGAAATTTTTGTCGGTTGATATATAAGTTGGCTACAAGGCTAACGTGGTGGGAACAAGAGGTAATGACAATTAACGAACAGTGTTTTGTGTCTACATATTGCATATTTTGTAGATGGTGATATTTTTTCATGTTATTTAGTAGATTGACCTTATGTAGTTTCACAGTCTATTGATGATATAATTTACAAATCATATAAAATGAAAATTTTACACGTAATGGATAGGCAGGTAACTGGACAACTCGGACCCAGGACAACTCGGACCCTGGACAACTCGGACCCAAGACATCTCGGACCCAAGACAACTCGGACCACTTTTTAAAATTATGATTTTTATCATAATGAGTGGTTTTGTTTTTTCATTTATGAAAATTAATACACATATTATATATTGTGAATTCATATTTTGTATTAATATGATAAAAAATGTTTTAATTTGACTTATTTGATGAAAATTAAGTAGAAGATATTGAAACTAGAAACCCAAGACAACTCGGACCACTTTCTGAATTTATACTTTTGGTTTTCGTAACTGGGGACTATTTCTTTAATGTTTGACATGACATATTGTGAGTTTATATATTGTATTTATTTGATGAAGATCTTTCAATTGGTAACCTTTCAATTAACTTATTTGATGAAAGTTATGAAGTAAGACCAGTAAGAGAATATTGAAGCTTAAGACCCAAGACAACTTGGGCCACTTTTTGAAATTAAAGTTAATTTAATTTAAAACAAATTCATCGAATTAACACAATATATCAATTCACAATATATAATTTATGTCATAAAAAAACATTAAACAAAAAAAATTAGAACCCCATACAATGATAAAAATCATCATTTCAAAAAGTGGTCCAAGTTGTCTTGGGTCTTTAGCTTCAATAATTTCTTACTTCTTAACTCTCATCAAAACGTTAATTTAAAACAATTTCATCAAATTAACATAACATATGAATTCACAATATATAATATATGTCAAAATAAACCTAAAAAATAATTAAAACCTAATATATATTGATAAAAATCATCATTTCAAAAAGTGGTCCGAGTTGTCTTGGGTCCGAGTTGTCTTGGGTCCGAGTTGTCTTGGGTCCGAGATGTCTTGGGTCCGAGTTGTCCAGGGTCCGAGTTGTCCTGGGTCTGAGTTGTCCGGAAACCGATAGGCATATAACAGATATTGATGTTAGAATGATACTATTTTTGCAGCCAATCCCAGATGGTCTTGGCAATTGGTCTTGGGCAGGGCAAGAGGAAGGTGGATTTGGAGATAAAAAATATCGCTACTCTCTTACGTCTTTATCAATACCACGTCGAAGCGTCGGGTTTGCCAGGCGGCGAGTGGGCAGAGGTGGCAGGTATGGGAATTTTGTTAAATTTCAACATGTAAGGTGGTAATTTCCATCTACCCATGCTCTTAATGTATCATGTCATTGTAGTGCTACTGTGTAGTGTGTAAACACAGCTGATCGCTTTGACCTGCTAATTTACATTTTTATTATTGTACCTAATAAAGGTACGATATTGTCGTCCGCTTGACTGGCGGGCGGGCGGACGGCGTCTCACTTTTCAGCTTGTCTACAGGTTTCCAGCCAAACCATTTGACGGATTCATCTGAAATTTTCAGGAATGTTTCTACGTATCAAAGTTAAGAACTGATTAGTTTTTGGGCATTCTGGGTAAATTTTAAGGTGGCCATTTTGGATTTTCCGTCCTAAAATCTTCACTTTCAAGACTTGTCTACAGGTTTCCAGCCAAACCATTTGACGGATTCATCTGAAATTTTCAGGAATGTTTCTACGTATCAAAGTTAAGAACTGATTAGTTTTTGGGCATTCTGGGTAAATTTTAAGGTGGCCATTTTGGATTTTCCGTCCTAAAATCTTCACTTTCAAGACTTGTCTACAGGTTTCCAGCCAAACCATTTGACGGATTCATCTGAAATTTTCAGGGATGTTTCTACGTATCAAAGTTAAGAACTGATTAGTTTTTTGGCATTCTGGGTAAAATTTAAGGTGGCCATTTTGGATTTTCCGTCCTAAAATCTTCACTTTCAAGACTTGTCTACAGGTTTCCAGCCAAACCATTTGACGGATTCATTTGAAATTTACAGGGATGTTTCTACATATCAAAGTTAACAACTGATTAGTTTTTGGGCATTCTGGGTTAATTTTAAGGTGGCCAATTTGGATTTTCCGTCCTAAAATCTTCACTTTCAAGACTTGTCTACAGGTTTCCAGCCAAACCATTTGATGGATTCATCTGAAATTTTCAGGGATGTTTCTACGTATCAAAGTTAAGAACTGATTAGTTTTTGGGCATTCTGGGTAAATTTTAAGGTGGCCATTTTGGATTTTCCGTCCTTAATTCTTCACTGTCACACTGCTGTGTTTTAGGTACGATATTGTTAACGTCTGTGCCTTGTTGATTGTTTTGAGTGATTTGATGCCAGAGCATGCCTCCACTAAAACGAAAAATATTTAGATTTCAAAGTGCTATACAAGCATACTGATCTTTCATGCTCTGAGCACTCTATCTACTCAAAAGAAATCATGAAAATTCACTAATTATTGAGAAAGTTATTCCAAAATTGGATGTTGGCATTTTTTGTGTCACCTGGATTTCCCTTAGTTCATAGTTGCTACTATCTATATGGTTTGATAACCTTTTAGTGGTGTATTACGTATAACATCATACATCTACCTTTATAATGTGTTATTATGTGAAAATGCTCTGAGTGATATTGTGAAATGCATTAACTTTTTTTTGTCGTCTCTTCCAGTTTGTATTTATTCGCTCATATGAAATTGGGGAGCTGTCAGATAATTCCTATTTTAGAGGTCATATATGAGCTTCTTAATTGATATGATTGCTTCTTGCAGGATAATACTAGACCGAGCCAGCACTGCCTGGGATGATGGCTTGTTTGACTTAGACTTCACTTCTTCAGGTTACCATACACCAAATGGTCTTCAAGATTATCCCTCCTATATAAAGGAAAGAAAAATGTAAGTACATGTAAATACATTCATGAATGGCTACTCCTTTGAGCTGATTGTTTAGTCATTGCTTTCTCCGTTCAGCTTAAACACTTGACAGAATTAGGCACTTTTGGAAGCATGTCTTTCCTAATACTGTATTACTGAAGAGGTAATGTCTGAGGTGTAAAAATGGAAAGATGAGGGGCCCCAAATGATTCTGTCACGATGTAAGGGGCCAATTGTCATTTTTGGGAAACTGCTAAAATTAGGGGAACGTAATTGAATATTGACATTGCTGTATTTCCCACTCAATGAACTACTTTCTAGGGGTATCCTGGCAATTAAACCGTTCCATAAGTGTCACTAAAATGAAACACTGATATTTAGAATGACAACTTACATTGTGAGTGATGATACAATTTTTAACAAGGTGATTGGTATGGGGAAAGAAAGTATTTTCAAATAATCCATTTGAGTACACAGTACTTGTTGTATGGAATTTGAAGTTTTGAACTTCCTACTCCCTGTCAATTCTGCTTATCATAGAATTTCATATTTCTCTTTCAGTTTACATTTCCGTCCTGGAACACCCACTGATGAGCCACTATCACCTACAACAGTGCCATTTCGTGCCCTCTCTCCCATCGACACGGTGCCTACAGTAACAGAGTTTAATATTGAGAGTTTTCATGATCATCAGGAGCAATTAATAGAAATGCAAAGGCAGCAACAAGAACAATTATTAAAACAAACTGATTTAGATTCATCATTTAGTTTAGAACATTCCTTTAGTTCACAACCAACGTCAAAGTTTACATTGGACTCTGCGACGGCACAATTTGCAGCATCGGCAGTTGTTAGTACTACACAAAGTCTCAGTCAATTATCAGATACAACAAACACAGTCACTACGACAACAGTCACCCTCAATGGACCAATCACAGACCCAGATGGTAGGTATTTGAATGATTGATTCTCATGTAAAGCTTCTTCCTTATAGTGCATCATCTTGAAACAATACTAGGGCCGAGGCAATGCATTATTGGCCCCTGATATGAATATATCAATGGGTTATTTAGAGCAATTAAAAATTAAAGGATGTCAGAGGATTTATAACCATGCTCTATAACGCATGTTTCTCAATAGTTGAATGTCAAGTGATTTATATCTTTATTACTATTCCTAGGAACAAGTTGCTTCTCAATATCACCAGCTGCTAGTGTTCTACAACTCAACTATCCAATCATGCCACAGAATGCCACTATACCTACTCCTGTATCCATAGCAACAGGTCCAGTTTCCATAGCAACAGGGTTAAGTTCACCATCGCCAGTCAGTGTACTAGCAACAAAGGCAGTCACGCCCACCCATCCAGTTACCAACCTACTTAAGGTTGGGTCCACAGCCAACAATAATGCTTTGCCAAAGTAAGTATCATAATCCAAAAAAGATGATACTCTTGCCAGCTAAATTGCAAACCATCCACCTGCCCTTTTTGACTAAATAAAATTTTTGAAAAACCAATTTTTAAAGTAATGAGGTTTAACTGCAAGGTGATTTCCATCTACCATTAAAATTACTATACTGATTCCTGTCAAATTTAATTAAAAGTTCTATTCTTCTGACAATGCAAAATTAGAAGTACTAAAACTAAAACATTTTTTGGAGTAAATAAGGTTCATTTACAAAAAGTTTTCAACTATATTCCAGGGATGACCATGACACTGAAAATACAACACTGATTGAGAGTCTTGTGAAAGAGAAGGTCGCAGCAATGGAGGTGACCTGACAGCAAGCCGCACAACAATTGGGTAGATGTCAAATATACCTGCACTGTGCCAAGTGCTGCATGTTAGTGTTGCTGTGCTATGACAAACGCATCTGGGAGTCATGTATCGGGGGTGTCACCTTGGCATTTGGGGTGTCAGCTAGGCATTAAGGGTGTCATCTAGGCACTTTTGAAGGCCAGAGGATGACAGGTCAATTGAGACCAACCTTAGGAATCAAATGAAAAATAGAATGAAAATAACTAAGAGAATGAATACATAGAAGTTGAATATGATTTACTGAGTAAATCAAGAATGAATTGCAAATTTGTAATAAAGTTATTTGGAAGACAGAGAAAATAGGACTGAACATTGAGAACAGAACAAGGAACCAGAATGAGTAAGGGATTTGTACAGTATGGTATACAAATATATATATCAGTATGTACAACTGTAATGTAAATGGAAGTGTAAGATAAGTTTCATGTTGTGATTGATGGCATTCAACTTGTTGCTAGGTGCATTTGGGTTAATTAATCCTAGATTTCAGTGTTCAACATTTTACCTGGGGAATGGGGCAATACTTAGATGAAATAGAATATTACACCCTGGTCAATCACACAAAAAGCTCAATTTTGTATTCAACATGTTTATGTAAATGTTAATTTGTTTTTATGTCACCACAAGAGGGATGACATATCATTAGTGTTTCACTAATTCAACGTGGAGATTTCTGTTTTAGAATATGTAAACAAATTTTTGTATTCATTAACATTTGGACTTGTTTAAACTGACAGACAAGGAGGGGTTTCTCCCCTTGCAGTGACATTAGGCTTGGATAGAAATATTTTTCACAGTTATCAATTTTAAGAAGAAATATTGGGAAATAAGTTCAGCTAAAATTTTCTGGCTTGATATGATGGCTTTATTTTTGTGGGAATAATTCACCACTGGGTGCAGTCAGTGATCTGGTTCAGAGAGATGTGTGATGTAAGACTAAATGCATGATTTTCATGATAAAATATTCAAACTTGCTTTTGAAGTGGTCCACTATTCAACTTCATAATTCTCTGGCATGTTATCTTCCCCAAATTATCTACCAACTACTAGCCTCTAGGTAATTTACTTCATACGTTTGGTGTTTAGTGGGGACATGTTATTAGTGCTGACTTTGTTATATTATAAATCTGTTTAAGCAGGGTACATGATTTCAGACCTTCTGGTTATAATTAACTACAGACCATTTGCCATGTTATTTTCCTATACATGCTGAACAAAGTCAGCAAGACCAGATGGGAACTTATTCATCTGAGAGGTTATGTAACACTGTCACATGTCACACATTGACTTCACGTATGTTTTGTGGTTTAATTGAAATAATCCTCCTGAGTTAAGCATGTATATAGGTGTCAAAATATTAACAAGGTTGTTACTAGTATTAGACCATGTATAAACATTCCTTTGCCAAATTTATATCAGTTGTATCATATTCAGGGGGCAGTGTTTTGAAATCCAGTACTAATAAGTACTTTTTATGTCATCCTCTCCAAGCTCTCCATCTAATTATAATAAAGAATAAAAATATTTGAAGGGCAATAGAACTTCCTTTCAGACAGATTCTTGTTGATTTTGGTCTTCATAATCAGAATTACTTTCCAAACTAAATTTGACTGCATATTTCATGTTATTTGCAGATATATATGAAGTGTCATATGAGAGCACTTAAAAATGGCAAAATTTATATAAATCTGAAAATAAGTCCCTTCTCCTTAGACAAAAATAACTAGTGGTAATGCCTTTGTTTTTGATACCCTGTAAATGAACATGGATGAATGCACATGAACACATACTTGTTTGAAATCTTAATAAAATGTGTGTCTTTTGTGTTCCCAGTGAAGCTTGCATAGTCGTTGAACTATTCCAATTATTTGCAACATACGTGTCGTATTCGTATAGCTATGAAAGATTAAATAGAAATAAATAAATGACTCCATGCATTCTTAATAATTAAACAGAACCTATCATTCTCAAGGTTCTAAAATACAATTTTAAAATTTTCACTGAAATACTAATATTGTTCAGTTTCAATATTGAAAGAATATGGAGGACATTTTAATAAAAAATTCATACTTGTTTATATTGATCATCTCTATATTGGTTTGTATGTTTGTCTTGTAGCAAAATTCATGTATCTTTGAATGAATTTAGTGTCTTGTCTGCTATAGTAAAAGAATAATAGTATTTTGGAATGTGCCTCACTAGACTTAATGGACATCAATTTCTTGATAGAAAAAATATGATTTAAATAATCCTTGGTGAAACTTTACACATTATAGATTGCATTGGTATATTAAATGATTGGTGTACACTGTATACAAGGAATATGTACAATTTGGGTATAAGCCCATTAATACTAAATGGTATAGAGGGTAGCTAGTGCTGAAACCTCTAGTATGAGAATTCTAATCTCAACTGAACTGTGATATTAGTGCTTGACACTTCATAATGTCAACAACAACAATAAACAATTTATATAAAATATGCTTTTATGTTTTGATTTAAGTCTATAATATTTGTTGGCTAATAGATTGGCCAGTGATCAGGTTTTTTCAGTAAGTTAAGAAGCCAAAATAGTGGAGATTACAGTTCTATATTTATTAACACTTGGTACAAACCCTATAAAGAGCTTTTGCCAAGGGGTGTTCACTTATTAAAATATTCCAGGGGGTTCACTTTGATCCAAAAATGGCCAAAATCATTTAAAATCTGTTCAATGGTGATAAACTGCATGACTTTGAAAGAATGTAGGAAATGTGAAGACTTAATCAAAGATTTTATTAATGATTTAAGCCCTGGACTCAGTGTAAGGTTGAATGACCTTTGTTTGAAGGTGTTGCTTTCCAAAATTTGCATAAGATGCATGGCATCAAGAGTTTATTTTAGGAGACCATGCCTGAAAGGAAAAGTCATTTCTCAATGCATTGAGTCTTAAACTGAAATTCTTTTTACATATTGCAAAATATTCTCTACCTTGTCACTTAAAGGCAAAGCATCAATTTCAATTTGTAGTTGAGTTGTCACATCGGCAACCACATAATGAGTGACCTTGGATGCGGTGATTGGTGATATAATGCACTGTAGTTATATGAGCTACTGTGTTTGGATTTCCTGGAATCTGAGACACCTTGCCTAGTTATGTGTGAATTTGCCTAGACGGCCATGTTGGTTCTGTGACTAGTTGCATTAGACAATATTAGGTTTAAATTGTATTACATCCAAATTCTGCTTCAAATGGGCTTACCCTGTGTATCTTAACTCTCTCTAATCAGATATTTCTTATGTGATTGCTTTTTTAAAATCTGCCATTAGGTTACCAAGGCAAAGAACCTTGAAATGTGATTATCTGCCGGCAATCTGAACTCTTTTGGCCGGTGTGAAAGAAATGATGGTCCCCCAGGGATTATGGTCCCCTTTCTTAACAGCCCCTACTGGCCATGATTGCGTATAAGATAATGAGGGAAAGAGTTGTATTGATGTCACCATATAATGCCTTTGTTTTTGATACCCTGTAAATGAACATGGATGAATGCACATGAACACAAACTTGTTTGAAATCTTAATAAAATGTGTGTCTTTTGTGTTCCCAGTGAAGCTTGCATAGTCGTTGAACTATTCCAATTATTTGCAACATACGTGTCGTATTCGTATAGCTATGAAAGATTAAATAGAAATAAATAAACTGAAAGGAAAAGTCATTTCTCAATGCATTGAGTCTTAAACTGAAATTCTTTTTACATATTGCAAAATATTCTCTACCTTGTCACTTAAAGGCAAAGCATCAATTTCAATTTGTAGTTGAGTTGTCACATCGGCAACCACATAATGAGTGACCTTGGATGCGGTGATTGGTGATATAATGCACTGTAGTTATATGAGCTACTGTGTTTGGATTTCCTGGAATCTGAGACACCTTGCCTAGTTATGTGTGAATTTGCCTAGACGGCCATGTTGGTTCTGTGACTAGTTGCATTAGACAATATTAGGTTTAAATTGTATTACATCCAAATTCTGCTTCAAATGCTGTGTATCTTAACTCTCTCTAATCTGATATTTCTTATGTGATTGCCTTTTTAAAATCTGCCATTAGGTTACCAAGGCAAAGAACCTTGAAATGTGATTATCTGCCGGCAATCTGAACTCTTTTGGCCGGTGTGAAAGAAATGATGGTCCCCCAGGGATTATGGTCCCCTTTCTTAACAGCCTACTGGCCATGATTGCGTATAAGATAATGAGGGAAAGAGTTGTATTGATGTCACCATATAAATCAATGGAGAGTAGGACCATAATTTGATAGGACCTCCTACCCTTTTACACCTGTTCAAGTGACGTTCTACCAGACAGGTTTTATTTTTAATTCATGAATATAAGACCACTAATATTTTCGTTTTCCCAATTGGTTTGGTATTTAGAGTAAATTTTGAAACGTCTTATGCTATTGGTTCTTTCAGTTTTAATTGAAGTTGAACCAATCACAACGGCCGTTACAAACAGCTTACGTGTCACATGTCAACCAGGAAGTGAGATTTTCAATTTTTGAAACAATATTATTATATATTGATTAAAACATTTCCTTATAATTCATTTCGTAAATGTTTATGGATAAACTGCAATAAAATGAATCTGTTGTCCCTTGTGACCTTCTATATAGTGCTTGTTGCGCATGAACTGCGGAGAAATTTAGTTAACAGTGATTGTGTTTTCAAAGATCACAAAACAGTGGTGGACGAAAAATTGATGAAACAACTTGAACCTTTGAAAGGAAAGAGGTAAATATAAGGGAACAAGGGGACGGGCAATGTTTATTATCATCAACTGTTGGTGGCATCCTGGATGGATGATCCACTCTACCATGGGCTTTCAATAGTTGAAAGCCCATGACTCTACAGAGTTACTACTTTTTTCAAGGCCTGACTTCGTCGCTAACATGCTAAATATAAGAGTTAGCTGACGTTTGGGAGTCTGACTTACCTTCTAAAGGTTAGAACCCGAATCTTAATGAAACCATATCACCTTTGTTCCGTCAACCATGGAGCATTTGCCACAACATCCAAGAGGTAAATCATGGATCGAGAAAATGAATGATTTCCTTGTAAGTTCCGGAAGTTTCAATACGAAAAATTACCGAACATATGTGAAAACCGAATATTTGTTCGTTGTTTTCATGATTTACAGGTTCGTTTGTTCTTCAATGTTTTGGTCTAAATTATAAAGCATCACCAACAGGTCTTACTCTATTAATCGACTAATACAGCAGACGGCTCATATTTCTACGTAGCATTTCATTCAGACCAATAGTGGGAGTGTAGATCACGCAGTTTCGTTCGTTGCGTACTTCACTTGAAATTGGTAATTTTAAATATTGACTACTTCACTTAGCTTGGCGGATGTAGAACATTGCTTAATATTCTTTTAATTTTCACACCAGACATGCTTGGTTGACACGTCAACAAAGTAAAGTTCAAGGGTCAATGCGTTATTTCGTGATAACTACAACGCCTTCCCGGAAGTCAACATTGATGAAAAATGAAAAAGTCGGAAAAGCATTCACGCTAATTTCTATCAAATGCTATGTTTATGCATCATCATCGACGCAACAAAGGTGATATGGTTTCATTAAGATTCGGGTTCTAACCTTTAGAAGGTAAGTCAGACTCCCAAACGTCAGCTAACTCTTATATTTAGCATGTTAGCGACGCAGTCAGGCCTTGAAAAAAGTAATAATTGGGCTAGACAATCTATAGTCTGAATATTTTCATTCCAAATTTCAAAAAAATTCAGACTAGAGGATATAGCTGATAGTTACCACAGTAACACATAGCGACATCTATATAGTACTGAGTTTGAACGTCTCTGTTATGCCTAAAATGCAGATCTCTCCATGATAGAGCTTTTCGGACTCAGAACAGATGTCGCTACATGTTCCTTTCCTGTGCATTTTACTACAATAGCAATGAAGGTCAAAAATGAGTGCCTGTACATCACAAACTTTGGCAGGGATCCTAGACTGAACCCTCAGATATCAGTATGTTCCCATACCAATCTGTCGAAACAAAGTTGGCGATACTCCCAGATTATGGAACAATGTACAGTTTGGACAATAAATAATTAGTCTTGGGTTTGCTGAAGTGAGGATTTCCTATGTTAAAAATAAGAGAATTTTGAAGAGGTCATTCATCAATGGATGAGAGTATGCTAAATGTGAAATATACAAATTTTATGTATTGTGTAACCAGACAATATTGGAAATCGGGGCTTCCAAACTACCGTGGCTTGAAAATGGTAATAGAAAGTCGACTACTCATTTATTCATTGCCCAAACTGTAATGAACATTTTGATAAAAATAGATACACTTAATTGTTAAAGTATTTTGTGTATTACCTACCTGAAAACAAGGTAATGCTTACTCCATAGACATACCTTATATAGGAAGACCAGTTTTGTTCTGATGGAGCTACCCAGAATAAATATAGTTTTCAAGTCATGTCAAATCAAATCAAAGGTCTAATCGCATTTCTCATATCATGGTAAGCCTCGTTATCTACAGATGATTATCTGATCACCATTTCTTGGAAAGTCCAAAAATAAGTCAACATTGTCTCATTAACATTGAATCTTTTTCTTTCAGCTACCCAGTAGATGATGGACATGAATTCTCCTATACTATAGGAATATGCAAGGAGGTTGACACGGTTGGCCATCCTAATGCTGGGGTCACACAATACAGCAAAGAAAAGAAAAACATTACAGTTGTAGGACTTATAAGTGAAGCACAAATAAAGGGCGGAAGTATGTTATTGCTTTAATAATTTGATTGTTGCTATTTAACTCAAAATGCATATGGCAGCAATAATGATCAGTTGTATGGAAAGTTGGATTTGAATCATTTAACTATGCTCGGTTGTGCATGTATTTCATATCATATCACTCATAAATCATAGAATATCCTCCTTTTATTCTATAATAACACGTTTTCTCGGGGGAAATAAACAGGGAATAGAATTGATATTCAAAAAATCCTGTATCAGATGCTGTATCAGAACTATTCCTGGGAATTTGTTCTGATTTTTACATTTTTCGTTCTATTTTAAAACTTGTGAATAAAAGGTGAAAGTGTCATATATGAAAGAAATTGTGTGAAATTGTATCATTTTATGTCAACATCAGACTTGAAAATCAAACTTGAAAGTGAATAAGTTTCAAAAAAATATTATGGAATAGATAGGTTATTGATGGAATATGAATTTTTCCTTCAGAATTGAGGATATTGGCCTCGGAAAATATCATATTGAGACTCGGGCTGTCGCCCTCGGCCAATGTTTTCTCTGGGAATAAAATTCATATCCTATCCCTCCCAAGAAGTAACCTCTATATATTTAAATGAAAGATGAAAAATATCACTCACATCCAAGATAATCATCTAATATAATAAGCATATAATTATAGTCATAACACATGCATCTATAAGAGAGTTAAATGACTTAAAATGAATGAATGAATAATAGCTCATAATAACCTAGAAAAAACATATTTTGTTTAGTCATGGATATTTACTTCTTCTAAGTAACTACAGTTCTTTCAACATGTTATTTATAATAAGATCTCCTTCTCCATGTGTTTTATATAACTTCATGATGATCTTTACAGCAAACTGGCTGATGTTAGAATATAAAGGAGGAAGCCCTTATCCTCATAGCTGCAATAGAGAAAAAAGACAAGCTACCTTAATGTTTGTATGTGACCCTACCAAAACAGATGTGAGTATTATTGAGTAGAATGAATTGAGATTATCTTGTACATGTATGAGGTTTAGATTCTCATTATGAGGTTCAGAGCATTGAGGTTATCCTATAATCCTAGTTCATGATTTCAACATTATTCTAATTGTGGTTAAAGATATTGAAATTATCCTTTATCATCTAAAGGATATTGAGATTATCCTACAGTGTATATCAGGTCCATTAGCAAATTTAGTCAAAATAAAATCTAGCATGGCTTCATATTTTTAAGGCTGGCAGATGTAAATGTATTGTGTTTTATCTGTAGCAGAATTGCAATCTCCAGTTTAATATAACTTTATACATATAATTTTCATTATTGATTGCATAGTCACTACACATACATACAGTATTCCAATAATGACTAAATTAAAAATTGATGAGATTCATGAGCTATAAAGTAGTTTCATTTTTTATTTTGCTTATCTAGCCTAATTTCATTCAGTATGTACATAAGGGTTATGTACTGGGAGGTTTTGGATACAGGGTTTATCCCAAGGGAAATATGTGTATCTCCCGAGGGACCGCAGAGATACACATATTTCTCGCGGGATAAATCCTGTATCCAAAACCAACCGTACATAACAGATGTATTTCATACCTACTGAGGTTCTAGGTACATCATACCTTATAAAGATCCAAAATTCAAAATATACTTAAGGTAGGCGTTTTCTTGGTCTTAAAGTCTGCGAGATTTTCCCAAAATTTGAAAAAAGAAATTGAAAAAAAAATTGAAAAAAATGTGAAAAAAATTTGAAAAAATTTAAAAAATGTGAAAAAAAAATTTTGACAAAAAATGAAAAAAAAAATTTGAAAGAAAATTAAAAAAAAAATTTAGAAAGTAAATTTAGAAAAAAAAAATTTAAAAAAAGTAGCGGGACCGGGATGGATACAGCGTGTATCCATCCCGGTCCCTGGCCTTGGAGATAGCTCCCTAGATACACTATATATTCCCGCTCGTTATGTACCTAGAACCTCAGTTGGTATGAAATACATGCATATACAGAAGTACATACATGTACATGTACAGTAAAACCTGTATTTCCAACATCTCTCAACATGAACCCTTTACTTTACAGTCCCATTTTTAATTTACCATGGATTATATTGTATTTTACAACAACTTTTTGTTTTGTATTCAGAAGTTAGTTTAGTCTTAGTTTAATTTTGTAGATTGTAGTTTTTAGTGACTAATATGTCATTGTAATGACATCAGAGAGTCAATAAAAGATTTATATTATCACTACCTAAGAATGTGAACGCCTGCCAATCTGAACATATTCTGCTATTTACCAGGGGTGTTTCGATTTAACAGTAATTATATTTTGAAACTGTTTTCCAGCCCAACCAGCCAGGTTTAAGGATTGTAGAAGAAAACAAGGACAAAACAAAAGACTGCTACTATTTATTTGAAATTGGTACAAACGCAGTGTGTACTAAATCACCGTTTGTGACTTTTGGTTTAAGTGCAGGCTCCATATTTTGTATTATGTAAGTAAGGACCGGTCTGTTATCATTTGGTGAACTTATCTAGCATTCACGAATGCAACCGCCAGCTGCTTCAGATTTGTCCATAATGTGACCTGATTACTTAAAACTTCACAAGTAATTCTCATTCATTGGACTTTTTCTGTCAACAGTATTTTAATTTTTGGAGATGAGCTGAATAGGTTTGAAAATTGCTTATTCTTAATTATTGGTGGATTTTTCTTTTCAGATGTTTCACATTACTTGGTGTTTATTTAATTGGAGGATTCTTGTATCAGAGATTTGTAATTGGAGCTAAGGGATTTGAACAAATTCCAAACTATGAATTCTGGCAGGACTTTGGAAACCTTCAATCTGTAAGTACCAGTATATGAGGGTACATGTAGTAAATACAAATTTTACATTATTTTAAACCAGTGTTCAACATCATTTTGATCATTCACATTGCAATAGTTCTCTCAAAGAGAAAGCTTTGTCTATGGTATGTCTTTGACTAAGCAATCCAATCAGAATACATATGTATAAACATGTACAGGTGTACTCCAAATATGAAGGGCACAATCTGTTTGCACTGTCATCTACTTATATACTAGCTTACATTCATTTCAAGACTATTTAGACTCTTATGAAAATTATAAAATTTACTATTGAGGTTGTATCAAATAAAAAAAGAAATTCTGTTGATATAATATGAGGGTAATAATAACAACTGGTAGCCTCTGAATTTCAGGTTAGACTAAAGTCATTTTACTCGTATATTATTTAGATTTGCATCTGGAGCAATTTCATTACCGGTTTTTGAAAATAAGTTTCGAAAATTATTTAAATTGAACAGAGGGGGGTGTAATATGTCTTTAAGGTGGAACAAATTTCCGCAAATTCATGTATTTGAAAAATGAACTCAGTAACTCTGTAACAACTGGGTGTTACAACTCTTAAGAGTTAAAATAGGGACATTTGGAGTTATTGGAAATAAAGTCAAGTTACATCTCTTATCATATGTCTTATAGATATTACTCCCCCCTCCGTTCAATTTTAATTTTTTTCATTATTTTTTTTATATAATGTATGGTAATTTATTTTACAAAACCAACAATGACAATAGTTTTGTGATAAGAACGTAAAATATGAGATAAAAGATATGATATAAAAGATCATGTAGACCATTCTTGCTTGATTTATAGCAAAAACATTGACATTTGCATGTTGGTGATGCTGCATCCTCCATTCATTTCTTCCGATCACCAGGCGTGATAAATAGGACAGTAACATATCTAATTTTTATACAATATATTTAGCCATTAGTTGATACCAACGTTGTATTTACATACATGCTGTACAATATAGGAATTTATATATCTGAAACATTTCTTGAAATGCCATTCTCTGTCATCTTCCAGGATGGTTGTAATCTAATATGTCGCAGTGGAAGCCGTCAAAGTGCACGCTCATATAAAGGAATAGGGGATGATCAGCTTGGAACAGTGGAGGATGAGTTAGATGATAGAGATGATCATCTGCTGCCCATGTGATAGAACCATGACCTTCAGGGGTCATAACCTTGACCTTCGCAACATGGTCATGACCTCAGAGATTCATGACATTCCATTCATCATCAGTTGTGATGTCATTTAGATTTAGAAACATTCATACAAGTTAAATGTCCAAATGTGATCAATCATTAAATCCCACAGAATGTTTATATCAGTTCAGAATCAGAATCATGTAAAATGCAAATGTGAATCCCTTATGCTTTTGTTTATGTTAAAGACATCTCTTATTTCAAGATTGACCATTTCATTGATGTTGTACTGCACATATGTCAGTTATTAACAAACATGTGTATACAATGTAGTCATTTGAAAAAATGCAGTTAGAATATATTTAAATTGACGAACAAATGTTAAATCCATAATAAGATTTCAGATGCAAATTAGATTTTTATGTCCATCTACTATTTACATAAAATATTAATTTTGTTATCTTTATGTTTGTTAATTCAAGAATTCTTCAGTCTGGTGCACGACCCAAGATATGGCTCTCAATTTGAGCTCTATTAATAGTCCATGTTTTGGGGGTATTTTACTCCTTATTGCTGTATTATAATGCTTTGTCTTCTTGTGCTGAATCTGATGCATTCTGCCAAACTGTTCAGGAACTCAGTCAGGCATACATGTAAGCATACTAAGATAATGTTTTGTATGTACTTAGTACATATTACTGTATTTACTAAAATTTGCTTGTATACTAAGGAACTCCTTTTGATGTGGATAGCATATTACTATTATGTAGGATTAAAAATCTTGGAATTTATTTTGACTCAATAATTCTTGTATAAATGATCAGTGCACAAATAGTACAAGTCAAATGTTGGGATCAAGAAATCCTTATAGGTGCTGTCTTGCATTTTTAAGTAAAATCTACATTTAAATTGTAGTTGTTTAAGGTACTAAATGAAATTAATGTTATGTACAGTAAAATTTTAAATGTTTGGAACTACTTTGAATTTAAAAAATAAACAATCAAAGGACCATATTGAAGCAGTATATGTAAAAATAGAAATATTTATACATGTCCCAACTTTTGTATATTTTAGTTTGTTTTGTAGTTTAGCTATCATATCTGTGGCCTCTTATATTTTGATGCTTCTCTGCCATGTTATTTTCGGAAAAATTAACATGGCTGAAACTCCCTAAATTACAAAAGGCCACAGCTTTGCTGCACATTATACTAAACTATCTGAAATATACAAAAGTTAGGACAAGTATATGTTCCTATTTTTTTATACTGTTGCAATATAGTCATTTGATTTCTTATTTTTTAAATTCAAAGTAGTTCCTAACATTTAAAATTTTACTGTAATTTTAAATTCTTTTGATATTACCCCTTACTTGTCTGAATTGATGAGACTGAAGTGGTTTATTCCATGTTCTATCACTTCATTGGTATTTGATTTGATTTTCTTACCCAAGGTTAAACTGTTTTAATGAGCTCTAATGACAAAGTGTACAAAAGTGGTTTCATCTGTCATCTCTACTTTAGCATGTATAAAACTGTTTCATGTTTTTTAACTAAACGTAGAAATGAATATTGATAGCAATTTATTTTGGTTGAACCTTGGATAAAGAAAAAATGGGCACACGGCACAATTTAATAGATGATATATCTGCTGTAGCTGTAAGATGGGATTGTAGAGTTTTAGCTGTTGTTAGTTTTTCATTGCCATTACTGTATTTATGCTTTCAATGTTGTTCCAGCGTTGGAATATCCTTTCTGAATACTCAGTAGTATAATGTCAGAGAATATATACCGTTATAATGAAGTAAAAAGTAAAAATGTGTTTTGAAGGATTCCGAATAGACTTTAAAAATAAGAATTATATTTCTTTCTATTGATGAACATTTTTTTCTGTAAAATATTATTTTTAGAGGGTTAATGAAGTGTTCCTTATTTTACATTTGTAATATTAATGCCTGCTATCATTCAATTGAAAGCAAGCAATTTGGTAGAAAGTACAATGAAACATGTCTATGTAAGTGTTCTCATTAAGTCACAACTTCAAAAATACTGCACTAGGCTACACTAGCATGCAAATATTGTATGCTTTTTCAAATATACTTAGAATTCTCGTAATAAGGCGCATGTGCCATTAATTTGAAAATATTAGTTGAACGCATTTGTTAGTCCAAGAAGTGTCCACGTATGGCATGTTTTGCTGTACCTGTGTTATTGCGTTACTCCTGTATTATATGTAAGTTACTAGTCTTGTCAATATTTCATTTTATAATGTAAGTATTATGTATATATAATTTGGGATGTAAATATGAACAAACAAAGGGAAAATGTTGTAACGTAAATTAAAAGTTAAAGGACCTCTTTCAATTTGGGCCTATAGTCTAGTTTTGTAACATTTGTGCTTATGTAAGAAAGGCTGTGGTTCTAAATTTTAAAGAGGAGTCAAACTGACTGAGGTGCCTTTGGGCATGAATATGTATAGATCTTAAACTTGGTTTTTTCTGGTATGTTTGTGCAAGTGCTATGTATTATACTCATACTTCGTTGGTTCAAAAACCCTCATTTGATAGAGGTCGCCAGTAATACACAATAGTCCCTGTACCACCTTCATATCCATTTACACAAATTTTGAGAAGATTAGGTTGGTGGCAATCATACTGGAAATGGATGTATAATGGGTCAATCATCATGATAAACCATGACATCTCATTTCTTCTCAGCCCTGAGATGATATTTCAGGTGAAACAGAAAGATGCTATGAGTATCAGAATGGGGGTCAATGAAGATAATCTATAAACAGAAATGAAGCTTGCATGAATTTGACACCATAATTCATTCATCAAAGTAAATTAGGTTAAATCTACTTGAAATTCATTTTTTGGGTTTACAAAATTCAATATGAGCATAAAATATCTGTTAAAAAACTACACTGACTGAAGTGTACAAGATGTTGCAGAGGATTGGATAGGGAAGCGCATATCATATTTGTCCAATTTGAACTGGAAGCCAGTTTTGATTGGAATATTGTCATCAAATTATGAAATGCCCAGAGAGTTTCAGGTCTCCACAAGGCAACGTGAGACTTTGCTTGTGCTATGGTCACATTTGCTCCGATTTTCAGTATGGGTGCCTGGTTGATGAGCATTTGTTCAAAATTGCAGTTTTGAACAGAATACTCATCAATTGGGCACTGGTGTTGATGATCAGAGCAAATGTGAGCACAGCATTGGTGAGGTCTCAGATTACAAGTCCATTGTTGCCAGTTGAATATATTCTACTCTACATCATATCTTCATTATGGCCTCATCCAATTTGATTAAGGCGAGCTTAACATGTAGGAACTATCAATGTGTGATTATATTGGGAATGTACCACCAGAGAACATAGTACTCACAGAGTGTGGTAAAGTCCACATATTGAACATGTATTATATTGACACGATTGTGATTGAAATACAAGATTATTATATTATAAAACTGATATAGTTTGTTAAAACATGAAAATTGTAAAATTGTTTCAATCTGAATCTCAACTCGTCTTTGTCCCCTCTACTCCCTTCCTTATATGGACATGGTGTACTTTACATCGTTGAATCTAGATCTTAGATACAGAACGCCAAATTCCTTTCAGATGGTGAAGTAAAAATAGTGCCGAGTAGATTATTGCAAACACTGTCAGAAGATTATATCTCAGATTATGAATATTATCTCATCCTTAAGGCAGGTGTATCATTTAGATCCATTTTCAAAAAATGTTCAGTTCTCAATGGGGAACATTAACCTTAGAGCAACTCAGTTCTCTTTTCAAGATATAATATTGATTAAACATTTCAAAAGATTGCTTTTTGGTGAAAAAGAGATCAATGTCATTGAAAAAGTGTCCTGATTGGTCCAATCCACTAGCAGTCTAGTACTAGCAATATAAGACAAAAGATATGGCTGTTTTCATGGTCATCAAATAGTCTTAATTCAAGATTAATTGTCTGTGAAGTTGTTTGCAATGATAACCTATGTGGCTTCTTATACATGAAAGGTGATATGATCTCTTTTCTCTTTTATAAACTATTAGCTATCTACATCAGACATGTCAGAAAGGTCCAATGGAAATCTAATTTAAACAGAACTATGAGTTTCAGTTTATTTCATAGAGTTTAATCAACAATATTTTGATATGCAAAATGTACACCAAGTATGATTTATACATCATGTAAGGTAAAAATATGGTGACCAATATATTGTTATATATAGTGTTAGTGAATACATACTTTTTTTTTTATTATAATTAGTTTTTGTGTCTGGTTAAACTACAATGTATTAAAAAGAATTAACCCTTACATTGCCAAGTGTTTTAAAGGCTTTTATTGCTCTTATGATATGAGCAAACAGATTACACATTTGCAAACATCTTTAACATGGCCACACAAATGGTCAGTTTAATTTGTTAGTGTTTTTAATGTGTCACTCCAGGCATCGTAAGGGTTAAATCAATGTACCCCTCATAAAGTACACGCTGGTCATGTCATTCTCATTTCATATGAGAGAAATACAAGCACTCTCTCCCCTGCCGTAAGAGTCGCATAACCAAATAAAAAAATGAAATAAAATTGTCCATTGCTTTTTCAATGGACCAGCTGATTAATTTTAGCATAAATGGAGAAATATTGTGACAATTTACTCATCCATTCAATTCTGAACAGTTTGTTTCATATCTCAATGACAAATCAACCATACCTTCCAATAGAACATACATTCGGAGGTAAACATTGTTATACAGACTAGAGATGCACATCAGCAAAAAATAAATTTACTCTGAATCTTTTTGCAAAAAGACATTCATTACATCACATGACCAGCTTGTAAAATGTTGAGGGTTTTATTTGTATTTTTTAGTGATGGAAGATTCCTAAATCTATAAAAGATTTCTAAATGTATTCTACGAGGCCACTAGTATTGATATAGATACCTGGTGAAATCACTAAAATCTCACATAGAACTGTTATTTACAAACTCAAGGTCATACGTACACCACAATTCTTGAGTTAAAATACAAAATGTGCAGAATAGCAAAGCAACATAGAAATCTTCATTATACTTGCTTTAATGATAATGTTAATTCATTCCAAAACTACATTAATTATAATGAAAGTGCACGCATCTTCACTTCATGGTGAAATGAAACGTGACTTTCCTTTTAACCAACCACTAAAAAGTAACACTATTCATACAATATGTTCATTTCATAATCGAGAAATTGTATATTAGATACTTATGCGTATAGCGTCTGGCAGAAAAGATAACAATATAGATTCAAATACTAAAATGTATATCTTTTTAAGAACTATTTACATCAGTTACATATAGGTAGTAGAAAAATTCTGTACAATACAAGTTTGTGGTCATTTAATGCTACAGAAATAGAACGTTTGAGCTATACCATTATAAGAAGGTGCATGTAATTAACTTTACATACTAGATCTAGAACTCCTTGTTTATAATTGTTAATGACTGTTAAGAAATCACTGAACAAAATTATGACAATAAAAAATGTAATTAAAGAATATTTGAGATCACATTTGAAAAATGTTAATTTAGCAGGCATCATGATCAGTAGTAAAATCATGACAAGGTTCAACATTTCATAACTAACTAATGATGATTTTAAGACAGAAATCTACACTAGTGTGGTTCATGCTCAATTAACAGCTGAGTTGGCACAATTATATCTACATCATAGTGGCTAAATAAACAGCTGCACCATGAGGTCAAGATGAAGTATAACTCAAAATGGCTCAATGAACAACTATATTATGATGTCACAATGAAATCTACACCAAAGAGGGGCAATTAACAACTGCACCAAGATGTCACAATGAAATCCATGGTAAAGAAGCTCATTTAACAACTGCATCATGATGTCACAATGAAATCCATGCCAAAGTGGCTCAATTAACAACTGCAGCAATATGTCACAATGAAATCTATGTCAAAGTGGCTCATTTAACAACTGCACCATGATGTCACAATGAAATCCATGGTAAAGTGGCTCAAATAACAACTGCACCATGATGTCACAATGAAATCAAGCCAAAGTGGCTCAAATAACAACTGCACCAAGATGTCACAATGAAATCTATGTCAAAGTGGCTCATTTAACAACTGTACCATCTGTCAATGAAATTTATGGTAAAGTGGCTCAAATAACAACTGCACCAAGATGTCACAATGAAATCTGTGTCAAAGTGGCTCATTTAACAACTATACCATGCTGTCACAATGGAATCTATGTCAAAGTGGCTAATTTAATGACTGCACCATGCTGTCACAGTGAAATCCATGCAAAAGAGGCTCAAATAATGACTGCACCAAGATGTCACAATGAAATCTACACCAAAATGGCTCAATTAACAACTGCACCATGATGTCACAATGTAATCCATGCCAAAATGGCTCAATTAACAACTGTACCAAGATGTCACAATAAAATATACACAAAAATGGCTCAATTAACAACTGCACCAAGATCCAAGATGTCACAATGAAATCCATGCCAAAATGGCTCAAATAACAACTGCACTAAGATGTCACAATGAAACCTATACCAAAATGGCTCAAATAACAACTGCACCATGATGTCACAATGAAATCAAGCCAAAGAGGCTCAAATAACAACGGCACCAAGATGTCACAATGAAACCTATACCAAAATGGCTCAATTAACAACTGCACCATGATGTAACAATGAAATCAATGCCAAAATGGCTCAATTAACAACTGCACCAAGATGTCACAATGAAATCTACTCCAAAATGGCTCAATTAACAACTATACCATGATGTTACGATGAAATCCATGCCAAAGAGGCTCAATTAACAACTGCACCATGATGTCACAATGAAATCTACGTTAAAGTAGCTTATTTAACAACTGCATCATGATGTCACAATGAAATCCATGCCAAAAAGGCTCATTTAACAACTGCACCATGATGTCACAATAAAATCCATGCCAAAGTGGCTCAATTAACAACTGCATCATGAGGTCATTAATTTACAGTTGTTCTTCATGTTACAATGAAACTGCCTTCTTTGTTACAATATAAAATGTGCACTGTGATGTCACAATAAAACATGTAAGCAACAATGGAAGCTGTTGTTGCTGCATCAAATAATGATAAAACAATATACATTAGTATTTCAAAACTCAAAAAAGCCCATAATCTATAGTAAAATCAGCAATTAATCCATTTAGAAGAGTATGCGTAGTAAAATCCATGACCAGACAATTGCCTGCATACTCCAGATCTTGATGACACAGGCATAAGATAAAGAATAAGAAAAATCTTGCATGAACTTATTAGTTACATGTGCACATGGCTGTTATTGTACGCATTTACAGTTTAATCAAATCATTAATTTCAAATGCTTAATTGCATGAAGGAGGAGTGATCATAAATCTCATATCTCTCTTATTTCTTAATTTTTCAATATAAAATTAAACAAATATATGTTATACCAAATAGTTTTGCTGGATTAATAGTTCCTTGCATGTTGTACATTCTGTGAAAATTCCCACAGAATAGATATTGGTATATTGAAAAACAAAATTTTAGAGAGATATTATGAGAACTTCATGATCATCCACATATATAACCAGCTGCAGCTATGTTATGCTAGTGAATGAGATGGACAATATAAAATAGTAAAATCAGTGAATGATTTAAAACTGATTAAAAAAGACAAATGTTAATAATTTCTAGTACTTAATTGTACACTGTATGTTATATTGTTCCTAAATCAGGTCCAGCTGAGCAATGTAGGCTGTGTTACAGTATGTGCAATACATAATGTGTACTGTGTTACAGTGTGTGCAATACATAATGCATACTGTGTTACAGTGTGTGCAATGCATACTGTGTTACAGTATGTGCAATACATAATGTGTACTGTGTTACAGTGTGTGCAATACATAATGCATACTGTGTTACAGTGTGTGCAATGCATACTGTGTTACAGTGTGTGCAATACATAATACATACTGTGTTACAGTGTGTGCAATACATAATGTGTACTGTGTTACCTTGTGTGCAATACATAATGCGTACTGTGTTACAGTTTTACGTACACAATACATGATGTATGCTGTGTTACAGAGTGATATATGTAATACACAATGTAAATACTGTGTAAATGTGTGATATACACAATAAAAATGTACGCTGTGTTACAGTGTTACAGTGTGACATACACAACACACAATTTACACTGTGATATAATGTGATATACATGATACACAATGTACGCTATGTTAGGTATGATATACACAGTGTATGATGTATTCTGATATACACAATGTACGCTGTGTTATGATATACACAATACATAATGTATGCTATGTTAGGTATGATATACACAATGTATGCTGTGTTCAGATATACACTATGTACTCTGTGTTATGATATACACAATACATAATGTATGCTGTGTTATGATATTCACAATGCACAATGTACGCTGTGTTTTGATATACACAATACATAATGTATGCTGTGTTCTGATATACATAATGTATGCTGTGTTATGATATACACAATATATGAGCCAGGTCACAGGAAAAGGGGTCTTATCACAGATTTTTTCAAAATTCTTATTTTTTTTTATCTGAAGAAGCACAAAGAGACCTTTCAAATGAGCAATGACTTATGTTTTAACAATTTTTCCTTGCATATATAGACCAAAATGTTGGATTTGGATTTAGCACATTTCCCTCTTAATCTTGGGCACAATTTTGGCTTTGTAGAACAATTCTAATTTTTGTGATAAGACCGGTTTTCCTATGGCCAGGCTCATATAATGTATGCTGTGTTATGATATTCACAATGCACAATGTACGCTGTGTTTTGATATACACAATACATAATGTATGCTGTGTTCTGATATGCACAATACACAATGTACGTTGTTCTGTGTTACAGTCTGCCAGCATACATACGTATATTATATATGCACAATACTTGTGACCAGCCAAGAAAATGTACACAAAAGATGAACCATATGGTCCTCAATAGAAAGTCAGATAAATGTTGGGCTATGTATAAAGTTCCTAGTAGCTGAGATCTCAGCTTGCAGAATTTGGGTCGCATTGTAGAAGCCTGACGATTGATGGGTCACTCTTGGCACCCTCTATAAACTCGCCCAGTGATAATTTACCATCTAGATTTTTATCCATCTGTCGGAATATTTTATCGGTGCGTTTTTCTGGTGTTGATTCATCTTCTGGCATTTTCATGACAGTGCCTACCATCTTGTATATGGCCTGAAAAACATATAGAACAATGTTATTTGCAGAATTGATACCAACGTGCAATATAAGGTCATATGAACAGGGTTGTCTATGATGTACATTGTAATGCCATCCAAAAATCTGTAAATAGACCACTAGTGTATGTTTACCTTTATTATCATAGGCCAAGGGAAAAGTAATAGTAAGCTGTATATAGAAGAGACAGGTCCACAAGTAAGATTGAAAATTTTTCAAATTTTTTTAGTCTTGGCACTAGTTCTCCTTACTGGTATCAAATGGTATTCCCAAATCTCTCCAAAATCTTCTTCAAAGTGTTTTTCAAACTTATATCATTGTTTTTTCAAATCTTTATCTAAAAACTGCATATAATACTGCATATAAAACAACAACTATGGATATCTGCAATAACCCAGATGCGAGTAGAAATAATCTTGATTTACGTCATTAAAAATTCAAAATTCAGTCAAAGTAATATCATATTTGAAATCTACATGTAAAATTACATCTAGAAATGTGGTTTTAAAAAGTGTTTATCAACTTTGAAAAATTACTTTTCTTCGAAAATGTGACTTCTAGCTCGGGGAGATTCCCCATAGACCCCATGCTATAAAATCACAAAAAATGAAATATCTTTTCTTTTAGTGGACAGATGATATTTTGCTTTACTGGACATATTTTCATTAGTATAAGTATTAGACACATAAGGGTTATATGAAAATTGAGCCACTTAAATTGATAATATTCAAGTTTAAGGGTACTTTCTTATATACCTGCCATGTTAATTGACCCGAATCAGCCACCTGGTGGTGAAACTGGTAACTACCTACTCGCATTTGGGTAATTGCCTGGCAAGCGGAAACTGATTGTCACTGGTGGAGGTCAGGGAGGTCAGCAGTGACCAATCAGATCACTTGTTTACTAATGAACTTGCCAAGCAATTGCAGGTTTTCAGAAATTCTCTCTTTTAGACAGCATTATTCACTCTATATCATCTGACTGAGTTTTAATCTTAGGTAAGAGCTACAAACTATCAATTTTCTATCAACTCCCCATGGCTTTTTGAAAATAATACACTAAATATTGTTGAAATCTCCATCTTAAGGTGCTATGGAAGTTAACAGGAAATGACAAAACAGGAAGTGACAAAGCCATGCTGGATTTTGAAAATTTTTTGAACCAAGATAACAGAGTTCTGTTTGGACCTCCAGTCAGTTTAACTAGTTCCACATATCATTTACATGACCGGGAACACAACGGAAATGGTCAGAATGACCATAAACATGATGAAATAACCTTTTCAGCCCTCTGAAAATGTGCCTGAAAAACAGCTAAGAGTAGGTGCTCAGGAAAGGTCACTGAACAGAATCTTTTGACTTTTTCAGAAAATTTGCCCAATATATTGCTTAAAATGATACAATTTAAAAAAAATTGATATCATTCTTAGAAAAAGAAAAAAATCTGAATTGAAAATCGATCGATTTACCTTTTTACTACAGCCATTATTGTTTCAGACAATTTTTCAAAATTTCAAAAATTGTATCAATTAGAGCAATATATTGGACACGTTTTCTGAAAAAATCGAAAGATTCTGTTCAGTGACCTTTCCTGAGCGCCTACTTTTAGCTATTTTTCAGTCACATTTTCAGAGGGCTGAAAAGGTTATTTCATCATTTTTATGGTCATTCTGACCATTTCCATTGTGTTCCCAGTCATGTAAATGATATGTGGAACTAGTAAAACTGACTAGAGGTCCAAACAGAACTCTGATATCTTGCTTCAAAATTTTTTCAAAATCCAGCATGGCTTTGTCACTTCCTGTTTTGTCATTTCCTGTTAACTTCCATGGCACCTTAACAAGTTTATTATTCAGACACCCTGAAGATTTATTTTTCTTATTTTTAAGGATAATACAGTCCCTCCTCCAGAAATTGTACCACTTATCCTCTATACTGTGTTGGATCCTAATACAATCTAAGAACATCCACAAAAAGTTGAAAACTATAACAATATGTCTCTATTTGTAGTGGTGACATAAAAATCAGATCAAACAACCTCTTATGCAACTTTCATATCCTTATATTAATGGATTATATGAATGTGAAATGAATGCTAGCTATTTGGCAGTGTAATATCATGGTTGTCCAACTACATGATTAAATGCAGGGTTAGAAGAAAGAATTATCTCTCATAAAGAGTGTAGTAAAGGTTGACTTCTTGTAGAGGGTTAAAATTATTAGACAAGACTAATCCAACATGAAGATACTTTTGTATTATATTTAGCCTCACTGAGTGGAAAATGTTTACTTTGATTCAATTAATCTTTTAAGACAGGAATGCAATTTGAAATATGTATGCTTGAGTTGAATAATAGGCTAATCAAACAAATATCATTAGACACTACACAGAGATACAATTAACAATGCCATGGTGACTGTATGTTGCCATGGTAACTATGATGCATGTAAGAGACATCAATGTCTCAAAATGAAGATTAATGCAAAGACTGACAACATGTAAATTATCAGCAACCTATTGCACGATATATTTCTAGTTCATCAGGCCAAGAAATAGTAAGGAGCAAATATGAACATTGAACATGTGGAGCTCTGTAAAAGTAACACGAGAACTGCTACAATAATAAATTATTAATGTTAGCAATAATGTTGTCAGCTTATTCTTTGTTATAGATTGGATTACCTTCATCACTTTACAGATGAATCCAAGTTTTTGACCCATTTATATCATAAACATGCACTGAAAGACTAGATGAGAGTGTAATAATGAGAAACTCCCAATTAGGCTTAGAGAAATAATAAAAGTTGAAAATAACAGTTTTAATGACACTAGAGTAAAGGACTGCAATATTCTTTCAATTTTGCGATTATTTCCACATGTGAAAAGTTTTAACAGATTTTTTTAGGCTGACACATTTCTTTATATTTAACAATCAAAAGACTAAAAACAGCAAAAATATTTATAAATTGGCAAAAGATCAAATGGTTGCCACAAATAGGTTCACTTGAATATAAATAATCTCAAAGACAATAACAAATCATAACTGATAACATGGAACACCTGCATTTCAGCATAGCATTAATCATCTCCCAGTAATGATTCATGTATTACATTTCAGCAAGTTTTAAGCTGTCCAATACACTTAACAAGGTATTACGCATCAGAATGTTCCGAAACAATTAAGTGAAAGGAAATTATAGCTCTATTTCCATTAATAGTCTATAACTAGAAATGACAGATACGGAGCGATTGTGAGAATCAAGTCACAAGAACAGACAGAATGATATAATTATGGTTCTAGTTGTTGAAATGTTGAGAAACCTCACAAAGGAATTTCGATATGATGGTATGATGAACACAAATGTCAGGATAAAATATATGTGTATAAAATATAGAGCTTGCTAGAAAGAAACCTTGGCCAATTAAGAAATAAAACATAGAAATCAATCAGTGAACTCCCATACTCATTTACCAGTTTGGTAATCCAATATGGTGAACTCCCCAGAAACAGGTTAGCACACATTTGAAGATTATCATGCACCATGTTGAAAATAATGGTGTTAAATCTCCAATTTACAAGTTTGACAGAGTGCAAACAGATTTTCAGCAGGGTGACATTTGAATCTTCAGTAGAGAGCAGCACTCAGTTGCCCTAATGCTCTAATGGTGGGGAGATCACTGAATCATGCATATAACAGGGACATGTCTTACAAAGAACACTACAGTGGCACTGAATATAATAGTGCAGCACTCAGTTGCCCTAATGCTCTAATGATGGGGAGATCACTGAATCATGCATATAACAGGGACATGTCTTACAAAGAACACTACAGTGGCACTGAATATAATAGTGCAGCACTCAGTTGCCCTAATGCTCTAATGATGGGGAGATCACTGAATCATGCATATAAGAGGGACATGTCCTACAGAGAACACTACAGTGGCACTGAATATAATAGTCACAAACAAGACATTGACTTGTTGCCCCTTTAACATGCAAAATGTCACTACCTGGCATTTCTGCAGATACTGAATGCTAACCACCGAATGACAAACATTGACTGCCAAATGCCAACTGCCGAACATCATCCACAAGTTAGAGTATGTGGTGGTGACATAAAAATCAAATACTTGTATGTACCACATATCAAAGGCAATTTTATAATCAAGCATCGTGGCACTATGTTGCTTCAACCCCCACATTTTCGCCAACACAGATCAGGAAATAGATAGAGGGGGAGTGTGAACCAAAATGAATAACTCCCAACTTTTCTAATCAACTATCATCCCATCCAAAATGGAAGTGAATCATGTTTTAATAACAAACAAGCAGGCTCTCATTAACAGTATTTCACAATTCTCAAGCATCAATTTTACATAATGACGACAATGTTGAACCTTCTAGGGACAAGGACATTTAACTGATATATGGCAACAAACATATGACAACACAACTTTAGGGAGGGGTAAGGCCTATGAGTTATGATAGCGTATTTCAAACAAGACACGCAGTGATAAATATCACACTTATAACTGAAAAAGTCAATATGGCCAACAAGTAAATTATCCATCATGCCAAAAATCTAATCGGCTCTTGACACAAGTCTAATCTTGCTTATGTAAAAATTGCAAGTTGAATGGGAATTTTTTTTCCTGTCATTTTGATGACTAGATTTATGAGGCCAATAAATTGGAAGTATTGTTGTTTTGTGGGACCATGTGACATATGTCAACATCATTCACTTTTTTACAATGGAATATCATCATTGTCATTATCATTGGAGTCAACCTGGTTTACGGTTTAAAAATATCTGCTAGACATGGAAAAAGATTAGCCTGACCAGACACAAATGAGTGTGATGTCATTACCACATTGACATTCATCTCCCTTGATGGTTCATTTGACACCGACATGAATAATCACCATTCCATTTCAAAATAGCTCCTGCATCTTCCATTACTACATGTATTATATTAATTCAAATATTAAAACAGTCTTGTACCAAGTCTCCACCCTCCAGCTACCTACCTCCTTGGCCAGTATGTATAAAGAGGTATGTTTTGGAAGGAAGGTATAACTCAAGAATTTAGTTAAAAAATTATAAAGACAAAGTCAACTTAATATAGATATATAAGCACTAGTGCCAAAGGGAAAGGACCAAAAGTTGTAATGGAACTTAGCAAGAAAAAGCAAACTCTAAGTGAATACCAGTCAAGAAAAAAAATCCATATAGCCCAAAACAATGATCTAACGTGAAAAGAAACAATGTCTAATACCCCCTTTACCCCCACCATTCAAGAACCAATATCAAAATCCAAGACCAGAAGACCAAAGGACATTTCATTCATACTGAAGTTGTTATAATACATGTTGAAGAAGAATAGATTTAAGGTATTTAAAAAGAATAGATTTAAGGTATTAAATAGAACAGAGTTAAGGTATTAAATAGAACAGAGTTAAGGTATATCTAATATTTTGAGATTTTGACCTGAATTTACACATTACATGTAAACGTTTCAATATTCTACTCTGTCTAGCTCAACTATGAAGTTATTCTTCTCACCTGAACTATTTCTAGCATCTCCTGCCTTGATATGTAGCCGTTCCCATCAAGATCGTACATGCTAAATGCCCACTTGAGTTTTTGTTCCAGTTTGCCACGTGACGTAACACTCAATGCACAAATAAACTCCCTAAAATCTATGGTTCCATCATGATTCGTATCAAAAGTACGGAATACATGTTCAGCAAATTTACTTGCATCACCATACGGGAAAAAATTTCCATAGATTTTCTTGAATTCCTCCACGGATAAATGTCCACTGGGGCAATCCTTTAGGAAACCCTTGTACCATTCATGTATTTCCTGATCCGTGAATTCAGTATTACTGCGCAAATCATCCAACACTTCTGGTTTCAGTTTACTGTTTTGTTTACCCATATCTCTATTTAGTGTTTATTCTACGTTGATAGTACTACAACTAAACTACAAATTAATCCCACACAAGGGGTCTCTTTCTGGAATGCTTCGATGAGTGTCTCCTAGATACGCTTTTGCATCAGAAGTGCTCTATTGGTCCACTATACTACCTGCAAAACAAAGAGTAACAAATCTTAAATTTACAGAAAAATATCTAATTAGTTCATTTTATATAACACTGTTATTATTATATAATACGCTCACAATATGTTTACATCAAGACAAACAGGTGCTTCAATTTGATTTGTTTTGTATACATCATATCCATGTTATTTCATAAACCTAAAAATAAATAATAAAAATAAAAGATAATCAAATTAACCTAAAAATGAAAAGTCAACAAAACACTAGTTATTAAATCTCTCCAGGTAATTTTAGATCCCAAGCTATCTTAGAATGATGCTCGTATCTTATATATGATCACATGTGATCCTGATCCTCACCCATTTTCTGAAATGATCTATAGGTTTAAAAGGTTGATTCATGCAGCTTTGCTATACATTAAAAGAAATTCAAGAAAAAAATGTTAATACTTACATAAAACAATGGATAATATGACTCCTTGCATTCTATTGTATCATCTTTATTGTTGATAGCAGTGCTTATAATATGTACTTACCAGTTAATGCAAAATGCTGCCTTTAGTAGAAATTGTCACATTCAAGAGGTGTTCTACCTATACACAACGAGGTATATAAGACCTGATAAAGCCAAATGATTACTAGACTTGTATATATTTTCATTCAATGGTTTGCTATCAGTAGCATACGAGTTCTCATACACACTAGAGTTGTAGTACCAGTAGTAGTATGCATGTATCTCTTGATTCAGCAACCTTACAATCAGCAAGGATACCAAATGGCCAAATCCATAAGATAATACTAGTACATGACAAAAATGCTCTCCTTGCTCATGTTAGAGTTCGTTACTCATTACTCTGAATGAATGCTAGGTTTCTCTTGAGTTGCCATGGTGACATATATAATAACAAAGAAGCTGTTGAAATATGTCTATATGTGCTGACAATATACATTTCCTGTCAATTTGAAGATCACTAAGTCATTACAAATAGTTACAAAAAATATGAAAGCACAAGTGGCGAACTGAGAAAAGCAAAACATCTGTTACAGATGTAACTGATGCTCGTTACTAAAAAGATGGAGGGAGGCTATATAACAAAATATCATTTTTTTGTTCTGACATAAAAAGGTCATTTCACTATCTGACAACTAATGAAACTTTGATTAAAATTTGCATATGTTTGGTCTTTGAACCAGTTGTAATAAATTTAAGCAATTTTGATAAAACCTGGTTGAACCAATCGACTAGACAAATGACACATATGTGAATATATGATTGTCATCTTAGTAAAAAGCTAATTGTGCCCTGGGAATTGATAATAGTGTGATCAAGCAAGGTTTCACATTCAATAAGGCATAATGGACCATATGTAAAACTCTGCCTACTTCCCCTATTAGCTTCATTCTCGGAAACATAGCATTAATCTTTAATACCCAAGGCATTCTGAAAATGACTGTGAATGTTTGCCAATGGTAATGAAACACAAGAAATTATAAAATTGTAATAGTACTATGTAATTTTGTAAAAATTAGAATCACAGTCATAGACAAGGCATTATTATGCAAAATGTGACCACCTGCCATTTGTTACAGACACCAAACACCATCAGCACCAACCATTAAACACTAACCGCAGAATATTGTCCTCTGCTGGTAACATAATAAGAATATATGGATTATATTATACAAGATGATGTTATGTCAAGATCAAACCTCTTTGCTTATATGTTCGTGACATGATAGTAACGGAGCCCCCCATTATCTGTTTCGTTATCAAGCAAAATTATTTTACTGGAGGGTGGAGGGGATATACAAATGCTTAATAAAAGACTTATAATGGTGCAAACATATAAATCAATAGAATCAGTATTACAAAATGTCCATCATTTATTAATGGAAGCACACTATCTGATGGACCTATCACGTAATCAAAGACAAATATTTCTGGACTAATATGATAGCAGCTAGATAACCAAATATATCAAGCTGATCATGAAATTAATAAATAGCCTGAGTGCTAAGGCAGCACAGGCATTTAAAAATTGCTCGTACACCTCTTATTTTAATCTACTAATGAAGGATAAGAGGTATTCAATGGTCTTGTTCAGGATATTGGATTGCTTGTGGTACGATGGAGTACTTGATATATAAAGGCTACATGTGTATGAGATGTGCAATCATCATAATACAATGCTGAAAGGTTTTAAGTCATCGATCATAATCATCACATCATATTATCAAATATCATTTCAGTGATTTACCCAGGATTTTTTCTCAAGTGGGTGCAAAATTCTCATTTTCACAATTCACACTGATATTGATCAAAATATGCCCATATTTCATGATCTGTCTCATTTTCAGATGGGTGCAAGCCTGTATTTAAATTCTCAGGTGGATGCTGCGATTACTTGCTTTAATGCTGGGGAGATCGCTGCATTTCATATTATCAGATCATGTCAGCCTCAATCATTCACTGGCCTCCATTGTTACCTTCACTTATTCATTGCTCTCTATATATAATTTTGCCCTTGTATTGTTTAAATGACATTTCTGCATGCCATATCACATCACATTTCATTCCATGTTACCACATAAAAAGCCAGTTAATAATAAAAATGGATTATATCATTCCATTACACCTTTTATGGACCAAACAATATTGAGTACTGTAGACATTAAGTAATACAGGAACTAATATGCAAATAGGAAAAAAATAAAGGTTCTTGCTCACAGGAGAATACATGGAACGTTTTGTAATACTCCCCTTAGAAAAACATTTGATGACACTGATGTGTTTGTCTAAATTTGAAGTAAATTCATTGAGACATTTTCCTGGAATCCCCATGACAACAGTGGCTCAGTGGCAGAGAGAGTCAAGGTTACCAATATCGCTTGGCCCCGGGTTCGATTCCCGGTTCAGACAAGTTTGTTTGTGCGTTATGTAATTCTGGGTGTTTGACTGAGTGGTTCACGACTCGTATAAAAGGCTGTGGTGTGTACCTGTATGTCTGTGTACCTGTGCACATAAAATAATTTTTCAGAGTAGTGAAACTTGGCTCGTAAACAACAATGAATAACAACCATGTTGAAATCTGAACTCACATTTTGCAAGAGATAGCGATGGTATGTTAATGTTAATATTATTCTGTTATTAATATCACTATAAATGAAACCACAATAATAAACAAATGAATTCATTAGCAGCTAGAATATAGAGATGGCCTTGGCTTTGGCTTTATAAATGACAAAGTCCTACTTTTTGTCAAATGGTAAACTGTAATTCCAAGAGCTTTGAAGTTTTCAGAGGACAGTGTTGCACATACAGCAACTACTAACATTTATTTGAAAGTTCTACTTAAAGTCAAAATTGACAATTTCTCTGAAACTGGGCGAACCTGGGAAATGGCGATGACAGGTCAAATAGACACTATGGATATACGAGGGGTGATCAATAAGTAATGGACGCTTTTTTACACAGATACTTTTTATTGACCAATCCCTTTGATTTTCCTACCAGTGATATATCATTTAATTATCTATCAATTCTGAAGATTTGAAGACAAAATATATAATTCATGTTGATATATCCTTATTTCCGTGAAGGGGGTACAGGTACCCCAGGACCGACATTTACGTCACATATTCAGTTTTTAGCCAGTTTGGTAAATTTTAGTTAGATTTGAACTTTTTATATGCAGCAAGTGTTGTATTGTTTGACATTTTTTGCTGACTGGTAACACATAAACAGAAAGTATTGTAATGTCAAAGTGTTGTATGGAAGGGGTTTGCAGGTCAATATGAGAAAGTATTGTGGAAGAAAGGGGTGGTGAGAGAAGGGAACACCCTACTCCATATTGACAATGCACCTGCCCACAGATCTCAAAATATTCAGAAAACAATATCCCTGGACCTCAAAATCGAGACCTTGGCCAATGCACTATATTGTCCACATCTGCTCACATGTGACTTGTTTATTTCTGTACTACTTATTTCTAAAGAGAAAGGACGCAGGTTTATTAACATTGATTAAATAAAACAACCCGTGCAACTGCATCTTGCTACCATGTCAGAGAATGGATTCAGCCTTGTCTCACAATCTTGAGTTAAGGGGATGAGGAATTGTGTACATGTAGCACTTGATGGAACCTATTTAGAGGGCCCTGTGGAATGAATGTGGCATGAATACCACATAGTGATGATAAAATATTCAAAATCAACTATGGCATAACAAAATGGGGTATTCATGACCATAATGGTTTGTTTTGTTCTGCCTGCATTCAACTCCATTGCATGTTAAACAAGCTAAAATAGCTTCAGAATATGTGATGTAAATGTCGGTCCCGGGGTACCTGTACCTCCTTCACAGAAATGAGGATATATCAACATGTATTATATATTTTGTCTTCAAATCTTCAGAGTTGATAGATAATTGAATGATGTATCACTGGTAAGAAAATAGAAGGGATTGGTCTATAAAAAGCATCTGTATAAAAAAGCGTCCATTACTTATTGATCACCCCTCGTACATAAAATGAATGTGGGTATGGCTTAATATGAATAGCAGTTTAAGTCCGGCCAACGTTGATAGATGGACGGACTGACCAACAAACAGATGCCAAGTCTATCCCATATGGCTCTTTGTGTGAGCCAAAAACACATTTTAGTCAACTGGCTCCCAAAACCACAATAATCACACTGAGCTTCTATGATAACGCTGCTGGTTATGACAACAATATGAAACTCATGGCCACTCATGGTATGACAAAAATAGTCTAAAAAATAGTCTTGTCAAAGGAAAATGAATGGAAGAATTTCTAATTGCCTCAGATTAGCAGGTGGAAGTAATACTTCAACATGTTAGTGGTATGGGGGTCATTAACAGAAACTTCATAAAGTTACGAATTCGTAAATCAATTGTTGTAACCATGGATATAATGACGTCACAGTTAGAGAACAATGGACTTTACGAATTCGTAACTTTATGAAGTTTCTGTTAATGGCCCCCTGGTAATGATTCAATTACGGAGTAT